GATAAATTAGAATTTTGTTTCAATTTTTGAGGGTAATATCTTCAACTAGATAAAAATTGTAATCATTTGACGTATCGTTGAAAAAAGTAGGTCAAGTTATAGCAGAGAAAATAAACGAGTCACAAAAAAATACCCTCTCAGCTTTGCATCGAAGCCAAAACCTAAAATATAGTAAAATAATTTTAATATGAATAAGAAATTGCTTCTTGAAATTTTATAAAAATCAAATGAGTTGAAAATTTATTCCAACTTAAAAATATATAAAAAAATTCCTTGCAATACACGGGTTGGAACCATATCAACCCCAAGCACATCAGACACAAATTTTACCGACTTGACAACCGCACGTCGTTTCCATCAACTGAAAAAAATGTCAATTTAACCTAATTCGTATTTCAAAGTTATTTTCTCTACTTAAAAAAAGCAAAAAAATTTAAATAAGTTTAACTTTCTATGCTATATTAATTTGATTTGTATAATATTTATGAAAATCAGTGTTGTTTGTGGGATTTCCCCCATTTACAGGTAACGAGGGAAATTTTTTCATTTTTAAGGGTAATGTCATCGACTAGATACGATTTGTGATTATTCATTGTTCATCAAAATCGGTCTAGCGAGAGCTGAGATTGAATGTTCACAGACACCAAAAATAAAAAAATAAAATAAGACATCATAATAAAATTAATACCTTCTCAGTTTCGCATCGAAGCTAAAAAACAGATTGTACATTATAAGATGATACCTGACTGTGATTAAAATTTCTATCATAAAAACACTTCTATTCAAATCTGTAAATAGTGTTTAATATTTATTGACAGATTCATTTTAATAAAACAATTATAGTGATTTAAATCGTAAATAATTACAAACTACCCAAGAAAGGCCATAGTAATGTTTAAAAATACGAATTTTTAACTAATTGGGATTTAAACCCACTGTAAAATTTTGTAAAAAATTATTTACTTTTGTTGTTGAATACTTTTATTATATCAAATCTAATTCGACAATAAAAACTTTAAAAATATATAAATTAATGATTTTAATTGTTTGTTTGGAGAAAGCTGGTTAAGGTACTTTTTATTTGATTTTAAGGGATTTTTTTTTAATTTTTGAGGCTAATATCCTCAACTCAATACGAATTATAATCATTTGACATATAAATCGCAGCCACAAAAAAAAACACTAAAATCATATTAATACGAATAAGAAACTTCTTCTCATGAGGAGAGAATTCAGTGATTGGAAATCTTTATATTTATTGAAGCTATTGAATCTAAATGAGATAAATATCAAATGATTTGAAAATTTTTTTCTAACTCAAAAAAAATGCAAAATATTAATTGCCAAAGGCGAACTCGAACCTTGTACCCTAAGCATGAAAGACATAAGTGTTGCCAATTTGGCAACTGTTCGTCGCTTGCATCGATTGATATAATTGGCAATTCAAGCTAATTCAAATTTTAAAGTTACTTTTTCGACTTTAAAAAGCAAAAAAATTTAAATAAATTTAACTTTTTATATCTTAATAACTTTATTCTATGTCAATTAAATTATATAATATTCATGAGAGTCAGTGTATTCCCCTTGTAAGATATTTTAAAATAAAATAAAATACATAACACAGAATTTTAACACAAAAATAGCATATTTTTTAATATGGTAGCCATTTTCACCAAGAAGAAAGTATATTAAGAATTTTTTTTTTTATAGTAAAGTATATAATATAAGCTTAAATCTATGATTAAATAAAAGTGTCAATATTTCCAGAACATTTTTAAAAATTACATTAAAAAAGCTTAACTTGTGTGCAAAAATTGTTTTTTAAATTCCCCCTGCGAGCTGGTCCAAAGTTAGATTTTCAATAAAATGATATCAAATGAAAGAAAAATATTTAAGATTTCAATATAAAAAGTAAGTAATTTAAGTATTAAAATATTTCATGTTAAAATATGATTTTTATGTAAAAATTAAATTTTTCGTGAAATTCGACGGCCATTTTCCTATAAAATAAAAGGTGTCTTTTCAATAATCCACCAATTTCTTAAAATTAAACACTATCTATGTCGCGAAAATAAGTTATCGGGACAATTTTTTTTTTTGAACATAAAGTATTTATTGTAAGATTTAATTTGACATATGTTTAATAAAAGACGCAGTATTTCCAGAACATTCTTAAAAGTTAAGTTGAAAAAGCTCTACTTTTTATACATATGTTTCAAGTTTTAAAGTCCCCTGTAAAAAGGGAAATTGTCCAATTTAAATTAAAAGTATGTTAAATGAAAGAAGTATATATAATTTATTTACAAAAAAAAAATTTGTTTTAATACATACATTATTCAAAAAGTTATAGCAATTTAAACTTGAAAATATAATATCGAAAATCAAAAATTGTTATATGAAAATAGTATGTTTTTATCTACGGCAACTATATTCTATATATACTTAAAAGATAAATCGTCGGGACAAATTTTTTTTAATTGATATATGTTTAAAGGATGCAGTATTTCCGGAATATTTTCAAAAGTAAAGTTGAAAAAGTTAATTTTTGTAAAAAAGTTGCTATTTTAAATCCCCCCTTGTATGCAGGTTAAGTGTTAGATTTTCAAAAAAAAATGATATCAAATGAAAGGAAAATATGTTAAATTTCAATTTAAAAAAAAATTAAGTTGATTTGTTAATTTTTGAAAAAATTATGGTAGTTTTAAGAAAAAAAAGTGAAAAAAATGACGAAATTTACCGATTTTAAAAATTGTAATTTTTTTGGAAATTTCCCTCATTTACGGGGAATAGGGGAAATTTTTTCAATTTTTAATGGTAATGTCTTCAACTAGATATGATTTTTGATCTTTTGAAATATTGTTCAACAAAATCAATCCAGTGAAAGCTGAAAAAAGTGGCAATAGATACAAAAAAAAAAAAACACATCATGATAAAATTAATACCTTCTCAGCTTTGCATTGAAGCTAAATAATAATTTTAATTTGTTCATTTTTCAAAATTATGGCAGTTTTAAGTATTAAAATATTTCATGTTAAACAGTGATTTTTACTTAAAAATTATAAGTTTCGTTAAATTCGACGGCCGTTTTCCTATAGAAGAGTAGGCGTCGTGACAAATTTTTTTTTTGAACTTAGTAGTATTTATTGTAAGTTTTAATTTGACATATGTTTAAAGGATGCAGTGTTTCCGGAACTTTTAGCGCATCGAAGCTAAAATGTAGGTAAATTTAATTATATTTAAATGTATATTAAGACAAGTTTTTCTTAATATTATTTGAAAACTTGATACATTTTTATTTTATTTTACATAATGTTTTTGGTATTTTGATATGATTATTTAATTGTAAATCGATTTTTTGATTAAATAATTTAAAAATAAAGATTTTGTAGATAATACTTCCAAATATAAGTTCTTTTTCAATGTATAGATAACCTTTTATGGTTATCTATCTTAAAGGTTTTAGTCATTATATCTCGATAGAGTAATAGTAAACATAGTAATAGTATTTCGGCAATGTTTAATGCAAGAATTATTTTTTTATATGTGACATCTCACGGAGTATTAATTTTTATTTATATGCGACGTAAAAATGTTAACATTAATTAGAGGTTTTATATCGTACAGAGAACAAGATCAGCTGTATTTAGGGTGTGTGCAATTACCTCAGGTGGTATGTTCTTAAAGGTGGCGCTAAAATATTAATTAATATAAATTATACAAGTTGAATACCTTAATTTTTCCTCCTTTAAATAAAACAAAAAGAGCGAAACAGAAATTAATACCTTAGACGATAAATGCTACCAGAGTAGTTGTATCAAAATGTGACATAAAGGGATATATGTATACTATACATACATTACATATACATTGTATATGATGTAAATATATTTACATTTAACATTTACAGTTGAGTCAACATTTAAAGCATATATATTTTAAACAGTAGCATACTCAGATATTAGCTTGGATTGGGCTTTTACTTTTGGTATATAAAATTAAGAATTTTAACACAAAAATAGCATATTTTTAAATATGGTAGTCATTTTCACCATAAAGACAAATCCAGAGGTCAATTTTTCTTTTCCAAATTAAAGTACATTACATAAGCTTTAATTTAAGGTTTATATATAAGTGTCAGTCTTTCCGTAACATTTTCAATAGTTAAGTTAAAAAAGTTTATTTTTTGTGAAAAATTACCATTCCTGTGGGCTGGTAAAGGGTCAAAAGTTCACAAAAATATATCAAATGATAGATAAATACCTAAGATATTTATAAAAAAAAAAAAGTTACATTAATTTGGTCATTTTTAAAAAAATTATGGCAATTTTAAGTAAAAAAATTGAAAAAATGTCGAAAATTAGCGATTTTTAAATTTGTATTTTTTTGTGGGATTTCCCCCATTTACAGGTAACGAGGGAAATTTTTTCATTTTTAAGGGTAATGTCATCGACTAGATACGATTTATGATTATTCATTGTTCATCAAAATCGGTCTAGCGAGAGCTGAGATTGAATGTTCACAGACACCAAAAATAAAAAAATAAAATAAGACATCATAATAAAATTAATACCTTCTCAGTTTCGCATCGAAGCTAAAAAATTATCCACTTTGAGAAAATGGCCGTCAAAGTAAAAAAAATTCACAATTTCTTTTTAATAAAAATACTTTATTTTACACGCGTACCATTTATTATTACATTATGCATTAAAATAAATGAATAACTTTCATTTGTAAAGGTCAATAATAAGTTAACTTAAATATTATAGTATAATTATCAGTTGATTGATGAACTTTTAATCTCTAACCATACACTTTTTCAATGTGACCTCGTAAATCATACTTTTAATAGCTCTCTTAAAAATACATTACACGTTTCACTTAAGTTAAGAAAACATATAGAAATTTTATTATTAATATATTAAATTGCACTTTTAATTAATATATAAATTTGTACTAACACATTTTATTATCACTAAGATATGAAATTCAAGATTGTTAAATAAGGTCAATGTCATTTTATTTATGTGAAAATTTAATATTAGTTCTACCAATATTTTAACTATTCCACTACCATATTTATACTAAAATATAGACTTAACATAATAGAATTCCTGTTTACTTAGGACACTAGGTTTTTCTTAATCGTTCATTGTTAAAAACGAAAAAAGTTTAAAATTATATTTCCCACTAAATTTACAAACATAAAACTTCTACTTTCTATTTTAATCTTATATTAATAGATAAAATGTGATTTACAGTTTGTTTTATGGAATATACATATTGTTTTCATTTTTCATTTCAAATTATTTTGTCTCTTATAAATCTGATTTTTTTCTGGAATGAGTTAATTTTATTTGTTGCCACAACTCTTCCACAAGTACTTTAAAATTCATGAAGTGGATATTTTTTTCAATTAGATTTAAAAATAGTACATCACCAACCTAAATTAAAAACATTTATTAGTAAAAATTACAGCTATATTAAATAATATAAGAAAATATTATTTTAATGTACTTGTAGATTTTTTATGAACATTTTTTGTGAATCTTTATTATTTGAAGTCGTTGCTATTTTCACTATTTTATTTTTCCATATAAACGATTGTGTTATGTAAACCAGTCTATACAACACAGCATAAATTGATAGAATGCCTACTATTATGAACCAAAACCATAGAAAAAAGTAAATTTTTTCATTAATATTATTTTGAGACAAAATACACATTACATCTATGTCTTGAATACTGCCAGATGGTCCATACTTGTAAAAAATACATTTTGTTATTTTAGGAAATACAACTTCCATAGGATTACTATATCCAAAAGATTTTGTTTTATGATTAATATAAAACATGGTTACTTCATAGCCATACAATAGGAACGTACTTCCTAAGAATTTGTTAGTTATATAAATATTTCCTAAAATATTAACTGTATTTAATAATTCACACAAAAAGTACCCACATGCGTAAACATTATGCGTATGTAACGTTTGTAGACAGTATTGTATCTATAATAAAAAAAATAAAAATTAAGACTATTAATAATGCATTAAATATAAGGTAAAATAATATAATAGGGATAAAATTATTTCTTATGTTTTTATTTATTAATATCAAATTCTATCAAGAATAGTGACATAACTCGAAAAAATACAAACTTTACAGAATAGTAAAATAAAATTAACAATGTAATGGCGAATTAATGACATTTTCTAAAAATTATATATTAATTCTCTAATCAATTTTTTTATATTTATCTATGTTAGAGCTACAATCTAAAAAAAATTAAATCTTGTCACTTTATTATATATATATATATATATATATAATATGTATAATATATATATAATATATAATATATAATATGTACGAAATTTTGAAAAATAAAAAATTACCAATCTATTTAATTTAATTTTTCTGTTATCAAAACCATCAATGTGCCTTCCGCGGATTCCTTCGGTTATCATACGAATTTTTCCATCTTCTAGTATTTTCCATATCCAATGAGGTATATAGAATGTAATCGCTTGGAAGAACAACATTACTGGCACCCATTGGTAATAAGAATGTTGTCGTACATCTCCATTAACGTGTCCAAGACCTCGCATAGGTTGTGATTTTGTATGATTATTAATAGTAAAAGTGTTTAAAAGCCAACAGTATTTAGTAACTACTTTTTGAATTTCGGGTTTCTTAGAAAAATTTGATAAACATTCAATCGGATCACCTAAAGTAATACTGTAATTAATTTGTACATTTATTATTAAAAAATATATATAAATTGTTAATACATTAATTAACAATTGTTTAAGTTTTACAATATTGATCTCTGATCAATGTTGATCTAGTGCAAACTCTATACTTGAAAAACTAGGCGCAATAGTGGCCTACATCACTATTGCACTCAGGCGCTCATTTAATGGATGCATTTAATTAAAATAATAAATTATTTTAAAAAATAGAGGCATAGATACAGATTTTTTTTTTGAGATTAATTATGAAAGAACGGGATAGAACAGAAACTGCAATAAATTACTTTTAACAATATTTTAAAACTGTCAAAAATTTGTAAAATATATGACTAACATTTGATTAAATTGATAATTTAAAATAATTAATTAAAGTAATTATTACTTTAATAAAATATTATAACGGTTGTATGGTTTACATTGTTTCATAAATACAAACGCATAGTATTATTTAATTATGTATGACATAATACATTTTAATACAGTTTTACCACAGCACCATCGGTTAAAAATACATAACAAAAAAAAACTGAAGCTCCTATATCTTTTTGTGGGGATTTGTACCCCATAATTTAATTTCAACAAAATGAATGAAAAGCCACCTACAAGTTTATATATATATATATATATATGTATAAATATATTATACCCGTCCCGGGGTAGTACAAGTGACCTTTTATGAAATATGAAAGTAAATAAAAAAAAAAATGAAATGATCTTAAAATAGTAGGTTCTCATAAATAAAAGACATAAATATATTTTTTTAAACATATAATAACATTTTTCTTGCAGTGTTCAAGTATTAATTATTTAAATATGAATACTACTGTATTACATAAGTTAACAAACCTATTAAGCTGTTAGCTGTAACTAAAATACAAAATGTGAACAATATATTAGTTGTTAATTTATAGTGACATTGAAATATATGGTGATCGATTTTTGGTTTATCGTTGCGAACTTTAAACGATTTGCTTAAAATGCTTAATGATGTAGTTAAAACCATTTTCTGTTGAAAATTTAATGTTCAGACCCTGTAATAATTAAAAGGTTTTAAAAATCATAAAAATAAAACATTATGATCATTTTAGTTCTTTTATATTTTTAACGTATCAATTAAGAATTAATACATAAATAAAAACCAAAAATTATATAATTAAAATAAAAAAAACCTTGAGGTCTCAATAAAATGGTAGTGATCCCTAATTATTAACTCATCGAGGTGTAAGAATCAAAAAAATGTAACGAATTTATTGAATTAAAAAATTAAATAACTTTAAAATAAGTATGAAGTTAAAATGTTAGTTAAAGATCTTTTGTACTGAAAATAAATATTTTTTCAATTTACATAGAATGAAATATATTCCATAGAGTTACAATTATTTCAGCAAAAAAATGGCTATATTATTAATATATGATAACAAAAAAAAATTGTCATTAAAAGAATATAATGATTAGCTATAATATTATTAAAACATATTTCGTGAGATTTTGTTAAGAAATTATTCTGTATAAATATTAATTAACTTCCAAAAAGAATATAACTACTTTAAAGCATTTTTTAAAAAGTCGATCTTAATACAATTGATATAGAAACGGCTTGTCCATGTCTAGCCATTTGACCGCACTTTTTTTTATCAATAATATTAATAAAAAAGGTCAAATCGTAAACGACTTACTATAAGTTCACTATTATAAGTTTGATATTCTGCTAAATTTACATTTACATTTAAACTAAATGGAAATTTTGTAACTTCAGTTTGACAATTTTTGGATGAAAAATGCTATTTACTCAATAATTAATAGTCCTAAAATTGTTATCGATCCATTTTTATAAAAATACTACTTAACACTCAATAATTTAAAACGTTGAAAAAATTAAAAACTAAAAAAAAATCAACATTTTTTTTTGATAAAAACTAGAAATAAAAAAAACCTAGCACAGGGGGATCGCGGCACAGTGGTGACTTGGCATAGTTGGATCAAGTATTCTGATATCTGACAGTGATTTAAATCACTATCAAAAAAAACGCTTCGATGCAAATCTTTAGATAGTATTTAATTTTAAAAAATTGATGGATTATACCAAAAGCAACATGATCTGCTAGTTCGTTATTAATATCCTGATTCAGATAAAGTATGTCGAATGAAAAAGGGATTATTAAAAAATATTATTTCTCATAAAAAAATTATGTTGATCCATACACTTTTCAATAAGTTATATCATTATAAAGTTAAAAATGTAAAAAATAAAATCGAGAATTTTCATACAATAATAGCATTCGGTAGCTATTTTCACCGTGAAGACAAAATAAAGTCCCACATTTTTTTTTGCATAATAAAGTACATTACATTAGCTTTAACTTAAGATATATATAAAAGTGTCAGACTTTCCGGAACACTTTCAAAATTTAAGTTGAAAAAGTTCTACTTTCTACATGTATTTTTTAGATTTGAACCCCCCTCGTATATAGGAAAATGGTCCGATTTAAAAAAACAGTATGTCAAATGAAAGATGTATATAAATACTACTCCTCATGAAAAAATTGTAGTGATCCATACATTTTTCAAATATTTATAGCATAATAAAATTAAAAATGTAAAATACAAAATCGAAAATTTTCACACAAAAATAGCATTTGGTAGTCATTTTAACTGTGAAGATAAAATAAAGCCCGAAAGTTTTTTTTTGCATAATAAAGAACATTACATTAGCTTTAATTTAATATATATATATAAAAGTGTCAGACCTCCTGGACCATTTTCAAAAATCAAGTTGAAAAAAATAATTTTTTGTGGAAAAGTTGTCATTTTAAATCCCCCCCTGTGGGCAAGTAAAGGGTCACATATAAAAAAAATATATACCAAATGAAAGGTAATGATATGCATCTATAAAAAAAAGAATTATATTGATTAGGTTATTTTTAAAAAAATTATGGCACTTTTAAGTAAAAAAAATTGAAAAAATTTCGAAAATTAGCGATTTTTAAATTTGTAATTTTTTTGGAGGTTTCCCCCATTTACGGGGAACGAGGGAATTTTTTTCAATTTTTGAGGGTAATGTCTTCGACTAGATACGATTTGTGATCTTTTGACGTATCATTGAAAGAAATCGGTTCGGTGAGAGCTGAGAAAAAGTGGTAACAGACACAAAAAAAAAATAAAAATAAAAATAAACACATCTTAGTAAAACCAATACCTTCTCAGCTTCGCATCGAAGCTAAAATTTGATTTTAACGTAGTCTAAGAATACAGAAATTATTAAGAAAAAAAATTATAATGTAATGTTAATTGCATTATACTTTTGGAAGTGCAACAAATCAATTAGATCTATTGCACTCTGTATTTATACCTGACATTTAATTTTATTGCCAATTTTTCTATTCATAAAATTATTAAAATTAATTTAAAAATTGCATAATATTTGTTTTTAAAATATCATATTAAATTTCAATTCAAAATATCTATTTGACAACTGAATTTTGTAAAATTGTTTTAATTAAATCGTATACTTACTTTAAATTTATTTAAAGTATAATTTAAATTGTAGTGATAAATATATAAATATTACAATACTAATACAGCATTTTACAAATAATATTGGAATAAAATTTAATGATAAATCTTAAAATATCATTTTTTACATACTATGTTATTCGATGATCCTTATCAAGTTAACAATTGTATAATTTAATTCATATAAGGGATTTGCGATGTTTCCAAAGGACCTTATAAAAAGAAATTGAATATCTATTTTTTTTTTGTTCATATTTCAAAATTCAAAAATTGATGTCTAAAAAATTAATGATGTATTAAAAGGAAAGAAAAAATCTTTATTTTGTGAAAACCAATAAAATTATTTTTTACTTATTATATAGTTGCATTTTATTCCTCGTATTTATGATAAAATATTCGCCTATAACTAAATTAAGTTCTGAATACAAAAATAGAAAACGAAGTTACACTAAATTAAAATATAAAATCAATCAATATAATATATTTATTTATACAATATTTTTCTTTATGAACTTGGTAAATAATCTTATTCAATAAACAAATTCAAAGGAAATATTAAAACAAAATTTAATCATATATTATTTGATATTGATTATGATAAAGTCTTTTTTTATTTAAATTACACCTCTTAATATTTTATGATTAATAAAAAATACTTACCACGACATTTTATAATTTAACATCAATACGAAAAGCTACCTAAAAATTCAAATTTTTTTTGTTTATTTTTAAACTAACAATTCATAAATTTCACATAATTAACGTAATACTGTAAAAATATTTAATTTTAAATAGGAAAATTTTTTTTTTTATTATTGATTTAACCTAACAATTAGATGAACTATAATATCAATCAAAACTTATGCAGTGAATTTATATTCTATCTATAATAAAAAGACAATAAGCAGAAAAACAGTCACTGTTCATTGTTTATGATAATTCGATAAAATATCAAACTACATGGCTGGTATAAATGTGCCAATATGCACAAAAATATCATTGGTCACTATAAATTTTACTTGACGTATTTTATTAATAATAATGCTAAATTTCGTAATTGTACGACTTCGAGCACTAGCAAATTGTTTCATATTATTTATACATTTTTTAGCACTAAAACTGAATTATTATAATTACCCAAAATATAATTGGTATTTAAAATATTATAAAAAGGTTTTTATTAGAAATAATTTAAAATACTTTTAAATAAATCAAAAAATTTGTTTAACTAAAAAAACCAAAAATTTGTTTTTCAATATTTACCGAACACTGTATTAAATTGTATGTTAAGTATGTAGTATATAATAGGTATAGTGTCTATGATGAGCATCAAAAACAATTGCTAAAAACTGTTCAATATGCCAACAACTTGTCCCGTTACCCTACCTAAAAATTCTAAAAACCTTAATATTTTTTATAGAGAATAATTATTAAAGAAAAAGGTATTGAACAAACATTGTATACTTATTTGTTGTAGAGTATTTAGAATGTCTTAATAAATCCTGAAATTTAACATTTTAGATATAGGTCAGACATAGGTTATTAATTTGGATAAAATATGAATTTATATTCATTAGTAAATACTAAAACTGTTTGTCAAGAAAAAATTTAATAAAAACTGATAATTAAACATTATTACTGATTAAATATGTGCAGTTGGACACGTATATTTATAGTGTTAAAATATTGCTTATTAAAAACTTAATAATGCACATCCAAAATAATGTATTATTTTTGATACGTCTAGAAGACTTATTATATTGTTTTATCAGAGTTTTAAAGTTACAACAAAACCTATTTTTCGTTAATCTATTGATTATAAATAAAGTAAATGATCACGTCAATGTATCAATTTGAATGTACTAGTAGTTGTTCTTATCGTATTGTAAGGCATATTCACATTAATCTTCAATCGAAATATCAAGTAACATGTGCTGCCCATTCACGTAAAATTNTTAGTAGTTCTTATCGTATTGTAAGGCATATTCACATTAATCTTCAATCGAAATATCAAGTAACATGTGCTGCCCATTCACGTAAAATTATTCTCCTTTATTTTAATTTAAGTTCAATTTAAAAAAAAGTAGTGTTGACGTTATAATTTATAAATTCCCATCGATTTGTTTACAAAACAGATAAGCAATGATTGTAATTTCATGATTCATTATCGAATGTGACGTAATATAATAGTATTGTGGTGGATCATTGGATGTTACAGTTTTGTGGCGCTATTAAGATAAATTAAATCAGTTACAATCAACACAAAGAATCAAAATATTCGATTTTGTATAACTTTTTGTTCATAAACTGGTAAGCTTTTTCATTATATTTAAAATAGGTTTTAGATTATGAAATTTAATCGGCCTGTTTTCATGATTTAATTTATTGATGTGTATTGTGCTGATATCATAGTTAAAATGTTTAAATTGGTTGATTAGTATAAAATTTTTATATTCACATTTCTTTTTTATTTATTTTTAAATCAGTTTATGTAAAAGTAAAGTCATTTAAGCTTAAAATTGCGAACATTGACTATATATTTTTACAGCACATTAAAACTTAATTATTTAAATTCATTACAATCAAACTACTTATCATTTTAAAATAGATAACAAACAAACTTAGATCACTTACTTCATAATTTAAGGGAACGTATAATTATAATAATCTAAAATATGTAATAATTACTACATTATTCTCAAACATTTTTATTCATTTTTTAAATTACAATAATTTTACCGTAAAGAGTATTTTTATAACTAATATATTAGAGTATCTAAAATCATAATTAATCTTGCGTGTAATACAATAGTATGTTTTTAATAAAACCCCCAATTAAAAAATTATAAGCAAAATTAATTTTGTTGGTAAATATATTCATTAAATTATTATTTTAGTAAAGGTAAATTAATCAAACTGAAATTATTTTTTAAGGCACAAAAACCTAAACTATATATCCACGTACATGTAACCATAATTTAACAATGGTATAGTTAGGTGGGTCACGGGAGTTATATCCCTCCAGTTACTCTAATATTTGTCCAAAATGAAGTGAAACTTAACAAAAAAATCCAAAATATAGGTTAAATAGAAATTTATCTGGTTATGCCCTTCCATTAGGAAATTTTGACTTTGCTTCTGTTGACTAGTATCTGTTAAAAATAAAGTTACAGTACATTACACTATATGTTAAAAAAAAGGTGTTATTTTAATAATATTAATTTATTCACATCATAATTTTTTTGATATTAAAAGAAATAATAAAAATAATTGTTCTAATATTAATAAAACAAACGATTTTAAAAATTAGTAATATAAAACCAACAATAGGTGTGTTGTATTATATAATATTGTGTTGTATTGTGTGTTAGACGCATCTGACATCTATCGCATATTGTTGTGGTTCATATCTGATGAGATATGAGTGGGTCAATTGGGAGTGTCCTATTCTGGCTCGGTTATTAGCTGTTTGATTTCTACGATTTATATTTGTAATAGTTAAGTTTTTTTATTCTTTTTAATTTTTTTAAATTTGTTTGAACTGGAAGCATTATCCCATTCATGTTGTTATAGGGATTCTAGTCGTCCAATTACTTTGCTAGTAGCTTTTTCAGTTATAAATACAGTCATCTTCGACGTTCTTTAATTTTATTAGTATTGCAATTCTTATAAATTAAGTTATAGTCAAGTATATAATGTTAAAAAGTTGTTAAATTGCAAGCTTATTATAAGTTAATTGTCATTTTAATTAAAACAAAATTTCATAGTATTCGTCTAAAACTATCGTTTTTTTTTTTTGCTTTATAATAAATAGTTACGCTTAACTCATATTTCTTTCAAAGAACCAGGGAGCTTCATTTTCAGTATGCAAGATATCCATTTGTGTACCTAAAATACTTTGTTATTATTTTTGGCACCTAAAATTTGAGTATTTTCACCGCCGCCATTCATCGTTAAATACATAATGACTTATGCGATATCTATGCTCACCAAATAAGTATTAAAATAATAGCCCTACACGAAAGGCGTGTATTTTTTTTAATAAAACGTTGGAATTAAATTGTTAATAATATTTATTACATATTAATATAATCTTGGACTGTTTTTTTGTATAGTTTCAAACGGGATGAAATATGATAAAGAGCAATATCAAGTATTTAGTCCCAATTCAGTTCTCAAAAGAAAAAATATGCTTTGCATTTATAATGATGTTTGTGATTACGTTTTATTACTTAAAAACGCAAATATTAAGTGAGCCTAGTAAGATATATCTTTATATATTTATTAACAACCGTTAACGTTATCTGCTTCTATATAAATAAATGTCAGTAACACCTACATACGTGATAAACAATAGTTACTATTAATTTATTGTTTTCAGATGTCAGATATATTAGTAGAGTACTGCTATCAAAAAATAACATAGATGATACCAATAAAACATCATTTTTTGAAGATATATTCATCTTTGAAGAACAAACCTTAACAATATCTGTGACTTCTGTGGTATCCTTATACTTGTTCTTATTTCTAGGTGTTATATGTAATCGTCATTTAGTACCATGCGTTCATATAATTTCAACGAGTAAGTAATCTGAATCTGTGTCTGAACTATCAAATTAAGTACAATTGTTACAATTTTATGAGTCTCTTGATTCACCAATTTTGATTAATTAATCAAGGTCAGGACAATAATTATTAATATTTAAAATCAAAAATAGTTTTTATTATTTATATGTAAGTATCCGTATATAAAAGAAGAAACTCCAATGCAGTTATTAAAATCAACAATTATTTACTAATTATAAAGGATGGTATAATTATAGCGATGTGTTAAGATTCATTTAAATAAATGATATAAATGGGAATTTGTTATTGTTCAATACAAAAAATAAATGTTATTCATTTTTATTTGATAGTCATATAAAGTTTACAAATTCCATTGCACATGGAAAAAACATTAAATTTTTAATATTTTATTTAATATTTACATTTGTTTGCTAACCTCATCTGATAGCTACTTTACGACTCGATTTATTGTTTGACTTAAAATTAATAGGTCCATTTCATAACTTGATGGTTATTGATAAGTATTGTTTAACGAAGTACAACTACGGATTTGAATCATAGATGTCGACTTTGACCTTAACATTTAATGCATTATTTTCTTTGAGTTTTGTATTGCCGTTGATCGATTGTAATTCATATAAATATAGGCATATTACTAATCTATTACTTCTCGTGAAGAATCGCAAATATTTATAAATTAAAATACTTTTGGATCTTCTTATAATGGAGTCCCTGCGGCTAAATTTTTTTTCGGAGGGAATTTCGTTTAATAGAGAGTTGAAAGGAGGTTTCACTATACTTACGTTTCAAATCTTATTTTTTAATCAATGTTTTGTAAAATATTTATATAATACTTCTTAAATTTAGGAATGAAATTGAGTCAAGATGTTGCTGGGGCGTCTGTAATGGCTGCAGCAGTTGCTTGTCCTGAGTTATTTGTCAATATTTTGGCAACTTTTTTTGCAACTGAAGGAGATGTAGGGATTGGAACAGTAGTTGGGACTGGTTTATTTAATTTACTGTTAGTTCCTGGGCTTTGTGTACTGATGTCTCAACATAAAGTAAGTTTTTTTGTTTTGTATTTGAATAATATATGCGAGTTATGTAAAAGTTAAGCTACATTCTGTATCTTATATAAAAACAAGATTTTGACACAAATGCATGTAATGGGACACAGATTTACAAAGTTAGAGTTCTCTTAAATTAAATAAAAATAAAATCAATACGAATACAAAATCAAAAATTTGGTTTATAATATTTATGAGCCCGTAATTATATTTATTTGAATACATCTTAAATACATTTTTATAAACTTTCAAGTAAACTGAAAAAAATAAATGTTAGTTATCTGAAGTTATTTCAAATTTCCCATTCTGTATTTAATTTTACCGAGTACAAATATACACAAGGAACATTCAAAATTCTTTCATTCGAAATTATTAGGGGGCATAGCCCCCTAAAAATTAAAAAAAAATTATGTTTTTTTTATATAAAATTATATTTGAAGATTGAGAAAAAATATAAATTAAACGAATTAAAATTAATATATTTTTCATCAAATTTTTTACATAATGAAATATTTATTTTTTCGTTTATATAGTTATTTTTGTGTTTCATAGACAATACATTTAGAATATTGGCCAATAACACGTGATATCCTCGTATACCTGTTAACTATTTCATTATTAGTTTGGTCCTTAGCCGATAGTAAAGTTTATGGATACGAAGCATTGACACTAATTATCGTGTATATTTTATACTTATTAAGTAAGTTATCTACATCATTAAACAATTGTATAATTAACAATCTACAACTCCCAATAGTTCTTTCTTATAGTACCTCTTTAAGTAAATTTTTCAAGAAGTTCTCATTACGCCATGAAAATAATATTGAAAGTAGCAACGAACAACGACCTATTCTTCCACTAAATGGTAAAATATATTTAAATAATTATTTAAATATTATAACTTATAATAATCTGAATTTTTCCAGGAATTGAAGCTAATGGTTTTTTAGTTCACGAACAAATCATTATTCCCAAGTGGAGTGATTCGATTTATGAATATTTATTAACTGTGAAAGAAATAGTCGTTTGGCCTATAGTTTTAGTATTAAAAATAACAGTCCCTAGTTGTAATAGTCATGATAGGGTATTTTGGGTACCTATCACAATGTTTATGTGTATATTTTGGATAGGATGTGGATCATTTGTAGTAGTAGAGTTAATAACCATAATAGGTAAACATATTTTTATTATTAAAACTAGCTATAACTCTTATACCATTATATATTTATTACTGGGAAATAACATTTTGGCAGTGTTACTTAAATTTGAACCATTTATCATCTGCCTAATACAAAATTATTTCTCCAAAAAGTATGAACAGACGATTCTGTTTTTATTTTTTTTTTTTAATTATATTTTGAAACATGAATTTGTTGTTATGAATATAGTAACTATTTATTCAATATTATGCTACATAAAAAAATAAATACAAGCGTAACAGCTAATTTTTATTTTTATATTAATTAAATATCTTGAAAGTAAATTGAATGTTCTTTCATGAAAGCCAAATAATGATATAATTATCATATTAGGAAATGAATTTTCTATACCGGAATCTGTTATGGGCTTAACATTACTTGGAATTGGTATGAGTGTACCTGAAATGGTCTCTAGTATTGCGGTAGCTAAACAAGGTACGAATTAAAGATACTATTTATTGACAGAATGCATATAAGTAGCACATGTATAAATGTATTTATACATTATACATTATTATTTATTTAATGTACTCATATTTTTAAAGGTCAGGGAACTATGGCTTTATGCACAGCATTAAGTTCATCTACATTTGACGTTTTAATATGTCTTGGTCTACCATGGTTCATAAAAGCAATGGTATTTCACAAAAAAGGTTTAAATGCTTCAATAAGAGTTCATTCAAGGGGTCTTGATGATAGTGCGCTTGCTGTTATGTTCAGCACAATTGGTTTCATGTCACTGATGTGTTTCAACAAATTTATTCTAACCAAACGAGTACGAATAATCTTTACAATATAATTGAAAAACAAGGTGGATTAATACATTAAATTAGAAGATGATTGCTTTATTTAGTGATTTTCGATAAATTTATAATAATTAATAAGTATAAAATTCTATCTTCTTGTATTAATAAAAATAAAATTAGTAAATCTAATTAAGTCTAAAAATGACATTGTGCACCAATTTTAATAATAATCTATACCACTTTCAACACTAATCCGCCCTTGTTTGTGAATAAATATGTATGATATCGATTAATTAAATTTTTTTTTTTTTACAATAGACGGGCATATTTTTAGTTTTTATGTGGATATTAATTTGTTCAGCAATGGTTTACAATGAATACGCCACATAGGTGTGAAGAAAAAAAAGACATAGAAAAAGATCACTTTATGATATTTGTGAGCAAATCAAAAGTGAATTCCAGTTCCAACGTGAAAATAGACCTAAGGTTGAATCTGGAATACTTGAGTATCTAATTTAATTTGTTATTCTTGCATGGCTCAACCATTGTGTTTTACCAAAACAGTTTATATACTTGTACATAATAATAAAAAACATGCAAATGAATGATTTTTACCTAAATGTTAGTTTATTATACTTTATGAACTGAACATGTAACTAAATTTCTTTTTGAACTATGATAACTATAGAACTAAACTGGTGTATTTATTTGTAAATTTTAAGTTTATTTCAATAGTAAAAGATCAAATGTTGATTTGAATATAGAAAAACTTGTATAGATGTACATTTATTTTAAAATATATGTACATTTAACTCAAGATGTTTTGTTTTTCTTTATAAATAATAAATTAGAAAAAAATTATACTGTAATTAAAATTTTATTTTTTACCTTTTCTAAATTAACTTTAATAAACATTGAACTTTTAATATACTCATTATGTTTTTGAAAGGTTTAATAAAGAAAGTAAAATATTTTGTATAGTGGCTAGAAATGTTTTATAATTTATAAAAAAGTTAAACAATGGACCATTTTTCAAGGAAAATAATCTCGTAAATTTATATATATATACTTTGAATTTATTTTTGCTCTTAACCCATCCACATGGTTTGGGCTTTCTCTTAGTAAGAATATATTAAAGGTTTTTCCTATAGACGAAATGAAAATACAAATTTTGAAGAAGTTAATGATATATTCTGCAAAACTGGACAAAGTAACAAATTTTTTTAACTCGTTATGTTAATTTCAGAAAGATTAAAATAAGTTAAAAGTTAACAAAAATATGTATTTTTTACTTCGTTAAGTAAAAAATATGTATTTTTTACTTCGTTAAGTAAAAAATAACTTAAAAATTAATTTTTCTTAATTATTATACTCTCAAATATTATTGATTAGAATATTTTCCTAAGTCTTCTACAATAATAGAAGACGCTCTTCAATAATATCTTCAAGTTTACTTATTAAATTAAAAAAAAAAACTAAGTTAAAAGTTAAATTACTCAAAAATTAACAAGTTATTTAACTTAATTTTATATTTTAACGAATTAATCCTGATATTTTATTAAATTTCCTCCATTTTAAAATGAACTTTTATATAATAACACATAAAATAAATACTTTCTCAGGCTTTCATAAAAATTAACATTTTATTATTGGTTGTTAATTTAGTGATAACTTTTTCGGCTTATTATATACATTTATTAGGTATACATTATATACATTTAATAAAATGAGCTAGTCTTTTATTAAAAAAATAGTAATAATAAAATTTCAAAATTAAATTAAGATGTTTAGTATAGTTTACCTAAATGGTTTCTTTTTACGTTTGATAAACATTATTCTATTCAGTGTTTGGAAAGATCTACTTCCATGGACGAACACATAAAAACATAACATTATCATAAACGAGTTCATTTTTATGTAAAAAGAACAAAAACAATTTAAAAAAAAAACTTATTTTAGCTTTGATGCGAAGCTGAGAAGGTATTGGTTTTACTAAAATGTGTTTTTTTTTTTTGTGTCTGTTACCACTTTTTCTCAGCTCTCACCGAACCGATTTCTTTCAATGATACGTCAAAAGATCACAAATCGTATCTAGTCGAAGACATTACCCTCAAAAATTGAAAAAAATTCCCTCGTTCCCCGTAAATGGGGGAAACCTCCAAAAAAATTACAAATTTAAAAAAACGCTAATTTTCGAAAGTTTTTCAATTTTTTTTACTTAAAATTGCTATAACTTTTTTAAAAATAACCAAATCAATATAATTCTTTTTTTTATAGATGCATGATATCATTACCTTTCATTTGGTATTATTTTTTTTATATGTGACCCTTTACTTGCCCACAGGGGGGGATTTAAAATGACAACTTTTCCACAAAAAATTATTTTTTTCAACTTGACTTTTGAAAGTGTTCCGGAAGGTCTGACACTTTTATATATATCTTAAATTAAAGCTAATGTAATGTTCTTTATTATGCAAAAAAAAAATTTCGGACTTTATTTTATCTTCATAGTTAAAATGGCTACCGAATGCTATTTTTGTGTGAAAATTTTCGATTTTGTGTTTTACATTTTTATCTTTATAATGCTATGACATATTGAAAAGTGTATGGATTAACATTATTTTTTTATGAGAAATAATATTTTTTAATAATCCCTTTTTCATTCTACATACTTTATCTTAATTAGGATATTAATAATGAACTAGCAGATCATGTAGCTTTTGGAATAATCCACCAATTTTTTAAAATTAAACACTANAAATAATCCACCAATTTTTTAAAATTAAACACTCTCTAAAGATTTGCATCGAAGCGTTTTNAACACTCTAAAGATTTGCATTGAAGCGTTTTTTTTTTATAGTGATTTTAATCACTGTCAGATATTATTATACTTAATCCATCTATGCCACGTCAGCACTGTGCCGCGACCCCCCTGTGCTGGGTTTTTTTTTCATTCTAATCCTATAACAATGTTATTATAGCATTTTTTTTTAAATGCTCTCTGGATCATGAACCTTAAAGGCATCAGCAGTATCTATAAACCATTTGGAATCTTTTTAAGAGTAAACATATTCTACTGCTTATAGGAGGCAGCGATGGCTTTTATAAGTCTGTTAAAACTTAATTTTATTTTTAATTAATCTAGCCTGGATGTTTATACAAATTGTTGAAACTTTATTGTATCAATTAATTGCAAGTGACTTATAAAAAACTAAATTATTATGATTCAAGTGTTATTTAACAACACTTCTTCATATGATAATTCAAATAAAATACAACGTATTATTAAGTAAACAACTAAATGAATTTACGAATTTATTAAATTTTGAATTATCTTTGATATAAAACATAAGGTATAATGAGTCGTATGTTATTTGAATCTCTAAATACATATTTTTCTCTTATGCTCAACTTTTTAATGATCTAAATTCTCTATCAGTAATATTTTTTAACTACATTTTATTTACTCTGTACATAAGCTTGAAAAAATCTCTGTATTTCACTTCATCAATAATAATGTTACCATTTCACTTTATCATATAATACAATTATTGAAATACGACATTAGTCTTATTTGCTTGCTTTGATTTGGTTGTTGTTGGTCATACTTAACAATTTGCCACTCCTCACACTGAAACAATTACAAAAAAATAAATAGAGGACAAGTCTGCCATTTCGTTCGTCCCACTTGATATTGAAATGCAAATCTATCGATTTTGTAATTATAAAACGCTTGAAGATCTGGGCGTCCATGACAGTGTAACGTTCACATTCGAGTTATCGCACTACGTTAGGAACCCTACATCGCTGATTTTCTTCGTCGTATCATTTTTGCATCAAATAGATATCGTTAACTATTCCACTTTCTCAATAAGTTAGTTTTGTTAAATAGTAAAAAATATGCATTGGTGGGGTTGGGAAATCATAAGTTTTGAAATTGAATTTTGCAAATTTATCTAAAAGAACGATACGAATCATTATCAATCAAATCTCTACTTGCCAGTCAATTCTATAGCGTACGGTCGAGTCTGGAGGCAAAATCGTGATCGGCAGTCGTTGCTATCGTGTGATTATGTTCAAACTGGTGTTGGGTTTATTGTGCGTACACGCTGCTTTCGCGTTACAATCGTTTTCAAACAATGATTCTAGCAATGGTACGATTTTCACATTTACTACCCTCGAAAACAAAGGTATACTTACGATTTATTATTATGCAAAATTCTATAAAACCATTAATGAAAAGCAATCTATACTTCATATTAATAATGATATAACTTGATAAGTAGCAAAAGTTATCCCGTTATTTTCTCGTATTGTGTAATCAAATCCCTCAGTTATTGTACAAGGCGTTGTGATTTCGTTTGAAATAGTTAAATTAAACAGTAAATTATTTTATTAAAAAAAATAATTGACTTGCACCTAAAATTTGACCAAAGTGAATATGTTTGAAAAGATTATTAAATGTCTATTCTTTGTTTATAAATATAAAAATTACTTTTTTTAAATCTATTAACTTGTACAAATGGTAAAAAAAAAAATTTATTTCTACATTAATTATTACAAAATATTTCATATTTTTAAAAAGTCGTAAGGTGGTTATTGTCACAATAAATCACTACAAGAATTACTTTTCAATGCTATTTATAGAATAATATATTACAAAAACTATACTACAACAACTTACCCCACCTTTAAGCAAGTTGTACATTTTTACTTGTTGAAGTTAAACATTGTACAAAGTACAATTTTGTTAAATATTTTATAACTCTATAATAGCGTAGAGTCTATAGATTTATTATTCACAAAAGTTTGGGAAGAAAAATTACTAAAAATATAAAAATTGTATTAACAAACCCTGCTCACCCCTACTTGTGTTAATTTTTGATTATTTTACAATGTCATTAACAAACATTCCTATAAATTTAAGAGTACATAATTGACCTCTCGTCTATATATTATGGAAAGTCTTTTAAAACACATTCGATTTCAACTAGATGGATTGCTATACATTATCTATGTTATGGAATTATAAATACCTATTTTTATGGACTCTATTTGTAGTAATTATACGTTAATTGGTTAAAATTGTATTTTTAAACATCATAATTAATTATAATCGATGGTCATTACATTTATAACTAGACTTAACATACTAGATAGGCACGGTTTTGCACATATGGACTTCATGAATTCAATCATTAATTTATGAAACAATCTTAATTGTTATTACCAAAAAAACAAGTTTATACAATATGCGGCCAATAACGTAACGCTTTCATTGGCAATGTTAGAATATTACATTTTTGATTACTAAAAAAAACGTTGCACAGAGGGGTCGCGGCACAGTGAGGATGAGTATAGAATAAGTATAGATGATATCTGACAGTCATTTTAATCTTTGTGGGATAAAAAAAAAAATTTTTAACATATTCAGTTTTTAGTGATATGGAAACGGTTTCTATTGTTGTCATTGTTTGTAACGACTGACCAATCTTCTTACTTACTGAAACCTCTGTATAAAATGTAACATCATTTTAATGTAACATATAATTAAATTCCGAAGTATATCCGGAACATTTTCAAATATTAAATTAAAAGAGTTCTACTTATAATACGTTTGTTTCGAGTTTTGAATTGCATTTCTATAAGGGGATATAGTCCGATTTACAAAAAAGTATGTTGGATAAAAAAAAATTGTGTAAAATACTTATTAATAAAAATTAAATTGATCCATACAATTTCGAAAAGTTATAGCGATTTAAAGTTGAAAATCTAAAATTGATCATTTTAACTTAAAAATACCATGTTTTTTAACTAAGGGGGCCATTTACATGTAAAAGACAAGTTTTTGTTTAACTTATAGTATGTAGCATAAGTATTAATTTAATATATGTTTGAGTATTTTGGAACATTTTCAACTGTTAAGTCATAATTATAGTCTTTTTTAATTAAATAAGCTTGCGTTTATTTGTATAACGGATTAAATTCTTAATTTTATAAATTTAATTTATAAAATAAAATTATTCTATATTTTTATGAATTACATAATGTATTGATGTTTACATCAATGTTTGATGCTTTCAATCTAAAGAATATGTCCAAAAACATGAAATTTCTGTAAAAATATGTAGCCTTCAAACAATAAATAAGAAAAATTGACTCAATCTTTTTATAAGAGAGATTTTTCATAAATAAAGTCTATTAAAATACTTTCAAAAAAAAATTTTTTATTCAAAATAATTCATAACTTTTTTTAAAAGATTCAAATCTATCCTGTTAAATTTTTGAACTGAACAGCAACGTATATCTGAAAAAATGCTAAATCTTAATTATTTAATTCGGAATAATTGAAAATTAATGAAAACAAACTTATCAACGTATGTCTTTCATAATTTAAATCTATTTAATATATCATTTTGTTTATGGAATCTTAACCATAATTGATATAGTAAATGTATCGATGATTGTAAGAATACACTTTTTATTCAAACTAAATTGAACGAGATGTTAAATAATATTAAAGTCAACTAGTTTGCACTACTTTTGTAATGCAGAATTTGATTCATAACTATAATAATAAACTTGCTAAACTTAGCATAAAAAAAATCATTTTTATGTTAAACAAGGGCATAATTATTAACTTAAGGGGCATATTCATTACCATATTTATGTTTGTTCGTCCACTCCTATTACTGATCTCTGTTTAATTACGCCACTGGTAGATTTGAATTTATAATTATCATGTTAAGAATACAATACTAACAAAATAAATTATTTAAATACATATGTAGGTTAAAAATGCTAGTTATTTACAATTATTATTATTCTCATTATAATTGTAATATATATTTAATAATTTCCTTAATGATATTTACTTTTATTATAATACATTACAAATAATAAAAAAAATCTAAATTTTAAATTCTACTTAGGTTTTTAAGACAAAATAGTCGTGATTTGAATTAAAATTTCATTGTAAACGCATACAACGGACAAATATATAGTTGGTAGTTTGAATGAACAATAGTAAAAAAAACATAAGTTAGATTTAGCGCACCAGACAATTTCTTGTCTGAGTATTTTCAGTACTTTTGTTTTAAATAACTCAATTTGGTATATGTCACAAAAAACCGTGAAAGCAACAATGAAATTGATTTTTTTACAACTGTTGTGGCACCGTAAACTTTTTGGACACCTATTATGATTGATGCGGAAGCAACATCTGCTACAAGGTCACCATCATGCGTCGTATAAGAAACTCTAATTTCAATTATTCCGTAACAAAAATAATGCGAGAATGACTTATTCGTGTTAATTTTGAGTATTGTCAATTTGTTTTTAATTGTAACAGTTGTTGACTACAAACACACAATACCTAATTCAATTAAAAAAATAAAAACTAGCAAATCATTGAGCGACTTTAAATATTAAGATTACTTATAGTTATTAGAAGAATCATAGACATTTAAATTCAACATTTTAAAATATACTAAAAAATCTACGCAATGCTTACAATATGTGTTAAAAGCTTATGTTGTACAAATGATGTTTGTTTCATTTTCAAAGCTTTAAATGCTCTCGGTTTTGCAATATTTAGTATGTTCCATTAGAAAATATAATTAGAACTAAAAGGATTTTTGAAACTCAGATTATTTTGTATGTGTTCTATCGTAACTGTATGATGAATACAATAAATATTCATCATTAATGGTACTACTATGAACTGGTAGTAGTGTTCACATGATGTTTTAAGATATTGATTCAAAAAATGTAGTTCTGATTATATATAGTGTGGTGATAGAATGTATAGAATTGCTCAATACCTTTTTACAAATCACAAGTACTTTACATATACTAATTAAATTTTAGAGCAACACATTGTTTCATATTTTAAACACTTGAAAGAGTTAAAGCTATCTTTATTCATAAACATTTTATTTCATCAGATATTTGATAACTACTGCATGTTTTACTATATGAACTCAAAAGTGTGTTGGAAGCTATAGATTTTGTCGAAGTGCATCAGTCACAAAAATTTACATAATATATTACTAATATATATATATAAACTTATCTCATTACAAGTGACGTTAATGATTTTAGAATAAAGATCACAAGTTAATAGAGATCAAAAATGAATAAATTTTAAGTATTAATAAGTAAACCCAATTGTACTAATTAGGTTAGTAACTGAACAATAAAGGAATTTTATAGTTTCTTAAAAATATTTATAATATTTTGTGATAGAAATAAGTTTAGTATAAATATAATTTTTAGATTTTAATTCCGGAATGAAACTTAAATTGGTAAGGAGAAGATTGTTTCTTTAAATTTATCTCAGTTGGTAAAATAAACTGGTTGACCTCTGAAAAAAATTACCTCACCTATACTCCTGTTTAATGGATGTTACTTGCGTTAGTATAATCTGAGGTACAGAACTGTGGATTTCGATTTAAATTTTTTTCAATCAAATTAATAATTCATTTTTTTTTTCGTTGACTGAATTGAAAACCTTGAGCCTAAATATAAAGAAGATAGGAATTTCAGTTTTTAAAACTGTCAAATCATTAAACATTTCTGTTTATAAACAAAGTTTAGTGTATAAATATATATATATATATATATTTAATGTGTTTCGCTATTCCTAATAATTAAAAATAAAATAAAAATATTAATTCTTGATTTCCTTAATTGATTGAATGTTGTTTAGAGGAATTTATGTAAAAAGTTTAGACTTCTAAATAAATATAATAGATAATAATTATATTATTTACTTGTTTTATTGTTTTATTACTTTTAAAATATAAATGAAACAATGTTATTTAGTAAAGGTTTAACAGAAAAAGTATTATGTATACTAGTTGGTAAACATATGATTGAATTGCTAAGTAACATGGTAATCGTTATTTACATGAAAACACAAAAAAATGTAATATATATATATATATAATATATCAATGAAAAGAAAAAATGTTTATCTATAGCATTTTTAAAAACTAAATAATAATTTAAAAACTATTCAAATAAAAAATGAATAATCTATCTATATCAAATTTTTGAATCTGCATAATTAAAAGAGTGTTATTAATTCATGATTTACTGTATTAATTCACTATTTGAGAAGTTTTTAAAATTTTTATATCTAGATGGGAAAAATATTTAAGTTGAGAAATGTCTTGTGATAAAAATAGTAGAAATAGCGTTTCACCTGAACAACTTTTAATTGTTAATGACTTCTGAAATACTAGTCTAAAAGTTGTTATCAACGAGTCATTTTCTCAATTAGATTATTAATTAATAAATAAACTAGTTAATTGTGTATGTTTCTGTTAGTAAATAAATTTGATACCTTTATATTGTATAAAGAATAAACATCAAAAATACTTCATGATTAATAAATGAAAAAAATGACATAACTAAAAAAAACCGCCATATAAAGTGTTATAATTCTATATATTTTTGAAGACATTATGACAAGTTTAAACTAATCTCGGTTTCGATTCTGCTAGTTATTAAGATTTTTATTATTGAGTTGATCGGTGGAAAAAAATGTATTTATTAGGCTGTTACGTTTTAAACATTATATATTTTGAAACGCTAAAAATGTCAACATTTTGAACTGTTTACTTGAGTTTTAAACAGGATTTTTTTTGTCAACCCAGATTAACCAATATTTTTGAAATTGTTTAGGAATGCTGTTTTTGTAGCTAAATATGGTACATTATTCTAATAACACCTTTAACAATTTATTAATTAGGTAACCATGAGTCAAAATCAATTTTATACTAATATAAAATTTGTATTACACTATAAAACTTCTATTTATGCAATGAAATTTATTTTCGAAAAAATGTCAGTTTACACCGCTATCCACTGACCTCTTCAATTTTATGTTCAATAATTGAAGCACATATTATACAACACAAAACTACTGTTCAAATTACTGTTGAATAATATAAATTGTTTCGTAAACGCTATTTTCGCAAGTATTTTTTAGTGACCTTATTAAGTATTTTAATTATTTTAGCTTTGATCCTAAGCTGAGAAGATATTGTTTTTTTGGTGGTGTGTTTTTTATGTTTGTCCATGAAAACTCTCAGCTCTCACTGGAACAATTTTAATAATCAATACGTAAAAAGAACCTGATTTTAATCTAGTTCAACTTAACACTGCCAAAAAATGAAAAACCCCTTTTTTGAAGTGTACTAAAATATAAAAAAACAACATTACCTAACGATTGTTCTACTATGTGAAATTGGCCATCAAAGCAAAAATAAACGTTTATTTTAAATAAGCTAATAATTTAACAAGCATTTATTAATAAAATTAAATTTTATGAGCTTGGCAAAGTTATGTGAGCTGTAAATTATTTTTATTAATCATTTTTATGCTACTAAATAAACATATAACAGAGACTATTTGAAATGACTATGAAAGAACATTTACGATAGATGTCAGACAAACTAATCGGTCTATTATGCATCATAGAATATCTTAAAAATAGTACATTTAAAGTTCAATAGTACAATAAGTAAAATTGATTTAATATAGAAATTGTGTTAACTGAACATTAATATCATTATACCTTTCAATTTGTTTTACTTTAGTTTGGTATTATTATCGTTTGGTAAAGTCTTTATTGTCTTTTTCACTTAAAATATTCTTAGAATTTAATAATTTTAACTTAAACTATTGAAGGACGTAAATAATAATCGATTAATTTCCAAGAAATTATATTAACGATGCAGTTGCACTTTACTACACACTATACGAAAATCAAATGAAATATTTTCTTATAATCTGAGCGTATACCGAATTTCATCTACAAAAATATTTCTTATATTTAGACCGAATATAATTAAATATATATATATGTATATCATATCAATTATATTATTTATCCGCATTAGCTAAATATACTTATCATATTTCGTTCTTATTGTCTGAATTTAAACTAGATATTCATACAAATCTTAGTAATAATAGTTCAGTAATTAATAAGTACAATTTCCAAAAATATTTGTTTTAGAAAATTTATATTTATATAAATAATAAATAAAGCAGAACAATTTCAATCAAGCTCTGAGTGAAACTATGTAGTCAGGCTTGGAATTAAAACTTTCAATAAGGCTATTCTATCACAAGCGTCATTTATGTATAATATTTTAATATTTTATTTTTACTCAAATTAAATAAAAAAACGATAGCATAGTGGGGACGTGGTATAGTTGGGTCCAGTATAGATAATATCTGACCGTTATTAAAATCACTATCATAAGAAACGCTTCAATGCAAATCTGTAGATAATTTTTAATTTAAAAAAATTATTTCCAAAAGCTACATGATCTCTTATTTCCTTATTTATATTCAGATTACAAGTTTTATGATTTATAAGTGTAATATATGAATATATATACAATATTAATAATATATCAATATAAATAGTACTAATCTTAAAAATATATAATGATCCATACATTTTTCAAAAAGTTATAGCTTAATAAAGTTAAAATATAAAAAATAATCGTATTACAAAAATCGAATATTTTTTTATTAACTTTGATGTCTGTTTTTATCATGAAAACAAAATAAAGTCCAAAAATTTTTTTTCATAATAAAGTATATTACATAAGCTTTAATTTAAGATTTATATAAAAGTGTCAGAGTTTCCGGAAAATTTTTAAAAATTAAGTTGAAAAAGTTCTACTTTCTACATGCATTTTTTAGATTTGAACCCCCCTCGTATATAGGTAAATGGTCCGATTTAAAAAAAAAGTATGTCGAATGAAAGATGTATATAAACACTACTTCTGATGAAAAAATTGTATTGATACATACATTTTTCAAAAAGTTATAAAAATATAAAGTTAAACAATAAAAAATTGAGAATTTTCACCGCGAAGACTTAATAAAGTCCGAAATTTTTTTTTCCTTAATAAAGTATATTACATTAGCTTTAACTTGAGATATATAAAAAAGTGTCAATATTTCAGGAACATTTTCAAAAGTTAAGTTGAAAAAGTTCTAAATTGTTTGATACACTACATGAAATTAAAAAAAAATTGGTTTAGTTTAACATCAAATTTGAGAAAATTTTAAATTTAATACTCATTGTTAGCAATATTTTTATTATATGTTAATATTTTTCAAAATGATAAAAAAATGACATGGTGTCTTTATTTGAATTTTAAAATACCCCTTAAATTAGCGCCAATGAAACTAATAAATATATTAACCGTCATTAATGTTTTCGTTAAATTGTATTTTAGGTATTAAATATTTAACCGTTATAAATTACATCAAAGTTTTATTATGAGAAATAACTTAATGAATCAAATTAGCATTAGTACTCAAGGAATTGTTTAGTGGTATTATTTACCTATTACTTATAATGGTCCTTGAATATAATATTTCGGTTTGAAGAAATTAAAAATGTATATCCACTAAAATTAGTGTTATGATAAGCACTTTTTTTAGTTCAAATAATTTAGTAAACTGTTAAATTTTAGTTACTTGTATCTTAAAATTTATTAAATACAACACCAATTTTCATAGCTTGTTTGTATTTTAAAGTAATTATATTTTTTACAATTTTGTGTTTAGAAAACAATTTAAGTAATTTCAAAAATATCAGCTGTAAAAATGTTACTCGTTCAATTGATGATTTCCCACCAGATTATTTCACCGAAGAACAAAGGCTTCATGGTGCTATCATTTTGCACGTTTTGGTGGCTTTTTATGGATTTGTTTTTATAGCGATCGTTTGCAATGATTATTTTTTGCCATCAGTATTCTGTATATGTTTAGGTATGTATAAATTTTATTTACTTATTAAGTATTAAAATCACTTCATTAAAAAATTCTAAATAAATAAGATTATAAGAAAATTATAAATAATATAAGTAATTTTAAGTATATTTAATTTAATAATAATAATTAACAAAATAAATTTAATAAAAAAATTATATTTAGATTTGGGCATTTCACCAGATGTGGCTGGAGCAACATTTATGGCGACAGCTACTTGTGCTCCAGAACTTTTTATCAGTGTTATCGGTACATTTCTAACAGAATCCGACTTAGGAGTCGGTACTGTTGTTGGGAGTGCAGTCTATAATACACTAGGAGTATCGGCTTGTGCTGGTTTAGCGGCTAAGAAAGCAATCGATTTAGAAAAATGGCCGTTGATCAGAGATAGTGGTGTATACATTTTATCTGTTATGGTATTGGCTTCTGTCGTAATGGATGGTGTTGTCATGTGGTATGAAGCTTTTTTGATGCTTATTATGTACTTCTTGTATTTCCTATTAATGTTTACTCAAGGAAAGCTCAAGGCAGCCGCTAAGAAATTAAAAAACAAGAATTCATTTCGATCTTGTAAGTATAACCGTATCTTGTACTCTGTATATACATGTAGTCAGCGGTGCCGGAACTATTTTTTACAGGAAAGGGGCAAAAATTTAATGACCAAAACTCGGTACCCTTGATTGTTACTAAGCTAAAAAGCGGGTTAAGATATTTTTTGGTGGATTTTAGTGATTACATAAAAAAAATCCGGTAATTTATACATGTTTGTCTTATTAATACTTATTTATTTTATTATATTATTAATAAGTATTGATAATATAATAAAATATAATTAATATATTAATTAAAATTTTTTTTATTTATTACAATAAATAACAAAAATTACCTCATTATTAACTTCAATTAAATTAAAAATTAAAATTTAGAAATATATAAATGAAGTACTAAAATAAGAACAAATTTAATCTTTGGTGAAAATTTAATTAAAATTTTATTTTAGTAAAAAAAGTCTTAAAAAATAATATTGGAATACTCTCAAAATCTGAAATTAATAAGAAATGAATTTATAGCTTCGATGAGAAGCTGAGAAGGTATTAATTTTACTATGTGTTTATTTTTGTGTCTGTCAACACTTTTTTAGCTTTCATCGAACTGATTTCTTCAAAGATACGTCAAAATATCACAAATCGTATCTAGTTGAAGATATTGCCTTTAAAATTTAAAAAAATTCCCTTATTCCCTGTAAATAGAGGAAATCCCCTAAAAAAATCGGCAAATGTTGAAATTTTTTTCTCTTAAAGTTTCCATTGAAAAATGCTGCAACTTTTTGAAAAATGAACGTACCAAAATAATTTTTTTTTGTATAAAAACATCAGGTTTTACCTTTTATTCGATATATTTTTTGGAAAATCTGACCCTTTATTTGCTCCCAGGAGCTTTCAAAATAACAACTTTTTCACAATATTCAATGTTTTCAACTTAACTTTTGAAAATGTTCTGGAAATACTGCGTCCTTTAAACATATGTCAAATTAAAGCTTATGTTATGTACTAATAATTAAAAAAAAAAATTGTCCCGATAACTTATTTTCGCGACATAGATAGTATTTAATTTTAAGAAATTGGCGGATTATTGAAAAGTATAATCTAACTCAAAAAGAATTACGGAAAAATTGCAAAAAAATCATTGTCACCGGCAATGATTTTTACTAAATAGGCAAACGTTCATCGCATTCATTTTTTGATAAAATTGCCAAATTAAGCTGATTCAAATGTAAAAATTAATTTTTTCGACATTAAAGAAAAAAAAATTTAAATAAGTTTAACATTATGTTCTATGTCAATTAGATTTATAATAATAATAATGAAAATCAGAGTACCCCTTTATAAGGTGTTTTAAAACAAATTAAAATACAATACCAAGAATTTTAACACAAAAATAGCATGTTTTTTAACTATGGCAACCATTTGCACATAGAAGATAAGTCGTCGGGACAAATTTTTTTTTTTTGAACTCATAGTAAAATTAAAATTAAAATTTTCAATTTTTGAGGGTATTGTCTTCAGCTAGATACAATTTATGATCTTTTGATGTATCGTTGAGTTACTTCGGTCCAGTGAAAGCTGAGAAAATGTAGTGACAGGTACAAAAAAATAAAATAAAAAAATAATAAACATATCATGGTAAATTTAATACCTTCTCAGCTTCGCATCGAAGCTAAAAAAAAATGTCACAACGACATTCGTCCGGGACATATATGTGCAAATGGCAGTCGAAGTTGAACAAAAAGTAGGACTTAATTTTGCTTTTGGAATAATCCACTAATTTATAATCTTAAAATTAAACACTATCTACAAATTTGTATCCAAGCGTTTTTTATGATGGGGATTTTAATCACTGCCAAATATCGTCTATACTTTTTTTTAAATGAATTTATTATAATATAAATGAAATGATTAAAAACCGTTATTTTGACTTAATTTGTATAATAATAATTTATTTTATTTTTTAATCATAAATTTATTGTTAGATTCTATTGGGCGAGGCACATAATGATACTTTTGCCCCCCTCGTATTTTAAACAAGGGGCAACGGCCATTGTAGTGATCTTTAAGCTTTATAATTACAATGATTTTGAGCATGTTGAGTTGGTATTTATTGCAAATATATTTTGTCTGGATTTAATTTTTATTTTATATATTTGTCTACCAGGCTTCAGCAATTATTAGTACGTGAAATTGATAATAATGATTGTAATAGCAAATATCCTTGAAAATGAAATGATATTTGTTATTAAAATTAATATAAGATACCACTTTTGAAATATAAAATGTTAGTTTTTATTTTTTAAATTTTTTTTTGGCTTTTTATATACGTTTTTTTTTTATATAAACATACAATTTATTATTCTAGGTATGCTTTACCATAAAGTAAATCATTTTCCGTATCTTTATATCTGAATTTATTTAATTAACATATCAAATGAGTAATATTATTCTACTAGATTTGCGTTGCTCAACTGTTTTTACTACTGATTTGTTAATTGAAATAAGCATTAAAAAGTTTAGAGAGCTTGACATGTATAATATATAACTTTGTTATATTACTGTGATTGCTAATATCACTTTTATTTTGAACTTGTATAGTGCACATTATACATTTAAATATTATTTTACTTTGTACTAAGTATTTTGTAAAAAAAATATATTTGGACATTTTTTTCTTATTTCCTAATAATAGCATTGACATACCTTTATCTAATTTATTATTGTTTAAATAACCCCATCAAATATTTTATACACCTTATACTCATTTTAAGTTATAAGTAGAATTACTCATAGAAGAAACCATATAATTACAATCAACCAATAGTGATTAAACGAGTTTCGAATCAAACAAATATATATTCTTAAGTATAAATATATATTTATTGTGGGTTCAAGTTAATTTGCCTTGGCAATATTTTGAATGCTACCCTAAACCAATTAAAAAAATAATAAATAGCTATAGACATTCCACTTATTTAAATATGCGAATTCTATCGATGTAGCTACCTTGAGTTGACTTTAGTTAAAAATAAATTTTTTTTATGGAATTTTTGTCATATATTAAATACAATTATTTACATCTAAGTTTTAAACGTGTGGACTTTTGTTCTAAAATTGAACAAAACCGACATCAATTTTATGAAAATTGTAATGCTTATATATGGTTTATTAGCTTATAGTTTTATAATTCAAAAATAATCTGAGAAATAAAATAAATGATCAGTTTTACATTCTTCTATTTCTCGAACTTAATATGCTACATAGGATGGAGGCCCTCTTTCACATATTAGGGAGTCAAAAATATTTTTTGGCTAAGCCAATAATAAACTGGACGGGTATTATGCCGGTTTGCACTAGAGACCAGATACTACCAATGAGAAAAACACAAGAAAAATCTCGTTGGCACTCTTGGGATCCAACACTTGATTCCGTGCGCTGAAACATACATTCCTACCCACTAGGACAGGCCGACCCCTTTAAGTAACAAATATAAATAAATATGAAATTAAATGTTTTAGCCAAAAGTACAACGAAACCTCCAGGATTCGATATTGGATTTGGAATTTATCGTTCGTTTTATTTTACTGAATATGTACCCCCTACAAAGCCAATTCAACCACCAGTCACTACCAAAGACTTTAATTTACCAGTTGAAGAAGAAGGTACGTCACGAAGCGTAATTCTTTTTAAGTTGAAATTTGCAACTTTATAATATTATTAATTAAACTATCATTTTTGCTACAGTTTCTCCTGTATGGAAAGTACCAAAAGGCAACCTTCTAACAACTGCGTGGTGGGCGTTTTCGCTTCCGGTTACATTCTCGTTAGCCATGACGATACCAGATTGTCGAACTAAAAGAAAAGTATATCCTTTGACATTTATAATGTGCATTATTTGGATAGGTATTAGTTCTTATTTTGTGTCTTGGATGTTAACAATATGCGGTTAGTATATTAAGATAAGTGATATGCAATGATATGGCAACATTCAATTAAAAAAAAAATTAAATGTGTTAAATACTTTAGGGGATACTTTTCATATTAGTGATATCGTGATGGGTATAGCAGTTTTGGCGGCAGGTGGAAGTATACCCGAAGCAGTTTCTAGTGTCATAAATGCGTTAAATGGTAATAATAATATATCAAATAAATAATAAGAAAATAATTTGTTAACTATAATTATTAAATAATAATTGCCAAGAGATTAAAAAAAAATAATAATTATAGGTGTAGGATCAATGAGTATAAGCAACGCTCTTGGAGGGAACACTTTAGATATTTTACTGTGTCTCGGTTTGCCATGGTTTATTAAATCTTTATTGCCAGCATCTATGAATGGAGGACCAGTTATAATGGAATCTAGCGATTTGTTTTTCAATTGTATATGCATGATTGGTAGCGTGTTCGTATTAAATTTGGCAGCTGCAGCTAACGGTTTCAAAATGTATAAAATATTCGGAATTATATGTCTAGTCGGCCACGTGGTTATCATTACAACATTTATAATAGTTGGTTTAAATTTTGTTAAAATACCAATAGAAGGTCAATGCTGATATTGATTAAACAATATTAATAAAGCAGTGACTAAGATTATTGGTGTTTAAGGAAGTCGAATTAACGTAAAATTTAATGGTTATAATAACACTTGTAGTAAGAAAGTACTTATTTAGCGCAGGATCGTGCTATTTTACAATTCAAGTGCATTACCATTATTTAATCAAAACAAAACTTTTGTTTATGTCATATTGGAATTCACGTGACTTGGGAATAAAACGTAATAACCAATCCCAAATAATGTATATATTTGTTCATAATACAAATTTCATTTAATATATAAGTACAAATGAACGTGCCAAAATTAAATTTACTTTAGAAGTTAAAAAATACTAATATAAATCTATGAAAATAAATAGTCCGAATGATAAATGATGTTACAGAAATTAATATGGTAAAAGAAAACTTCATGGTATCACTTAACACTTCTATAGTAATTGTTTTTAATTATACAAGATGGATTTCTATTAAATGAAAAGACAAAATTTGATACAATCTAGTGTTTCAACATATATGTGTTATAACTATTATGCTTTATCACTTATTAGATGTAGCAGAAGCATATTCAGCGAACGAGGCATTGAACAATGTAAATCAAAATAAGATATTGCAATTTTTTATGAATTAATTAAATTAACATAATAAGAAGAAGAACAACCATGAGGTAGGGTTAAGTTGGATTGTAATTGACTTCACTTTGAAATAAGTAGTGATTTTTAAACTTTGTAGTAGTAAAAGTCTTTTTAGCAATATAAATGATTGATTGTCAAATTTTGAAACGTAGCAGAGGATATTAATTTGAAAAGAAAAAAGATCACATTAAATTTTCTTGAATAATCTTTATCTCTAAATGAGAGACCAAGTAACCACCTGATGATTTTTAAGAGCTAATAAGAATTTATCATTTATAAAAATTGAACTAAGTTAATAATTATCATTATAATAGCACTATCACAGATATTTAGTCCAACCATGATTAAATTCAATCATTTTCCCTTTGAAAAAATGCTTTACTATAGATGATTATTATATAATCTTACGATAGTAAATTCAGTTTTTGTTTTCCCTTAAACGATTTTTAACAATTAAGCATAGGCATAGGGTTCAGAAAAGTTTGAGAGGACTAAGTCTTATGAATTTCCATTATCTTTAAAAATTTCAGAATTTTTAAGGGTCGTATCCTTAAATGAGATCTACGTTTCTCATTCTGTGTTTGTGTAAGTAATATAAGTGTTTAACTTAAGTAAAATTTTGCAATGACTAAAATTAAAAGGGATAGAGAGATACCCAATTTGTTTAAAAAAAATAAATAATTTCATTATCTAAAAACAAGTTTATTCGGAATTTGGAAATATTAGTAGTCATAAATAATTAGTAATTTTAAATAAATAAACGTTTAGCCCAGATGACCTTTCATTAGTAGACTTTTTGAAATCATAAATAATTAAAAAATAAACTGCATTATCAAATTCAGTCAATTAGTTTTTTTTTGAAAATTTTTATTGTACATATATAAATAATTGATGTAAAAAAAAAATTATCAGTGGCGTTTTAGATACTCAATGAAATAAAGTGGCCATATATTGTAAAAATTTAGAGTAGATTAAAATTTAATCTAGTTTTAATCAAAATTTTTAATATTTTATACTATTGATAAATATTAAACAAAGGTTTTATTACTAATGTTAGGAAAAGTACAAAAAAAAATGGTAAGGTATGATAAGGTAAAAATGTTTGGATATTACCGTCGATTTTGTTATATCCTTTTAATTATAAAAGAATCTTTCGTTTCTTACTTCTAATACAATTAATAACCCAAAGAATTTCGGAAATTAATTGAATATTCAATATGTTGATGAAGAAAGGATAATATTGTTATTTAATAAATTTCTTATGTTATCATAACATAAGATATGAAGTTCACGATCTTCAAAAAAATGAAGTATGATGAAAATTAAATTATTCAGTAGTATCAAAAGAAAATCGTAGGGATAAGCTAAGAACAAACTAATTGTATTGCATACTGTGATCACAATATACAATTCTCCATTATTATGTAGCAATAATATTTAGATAATTTAAGCCAAAATCTAAGACATTTAATAAACTTAGATTTAAGGAGATATATTTTTAATTGATACATTATTTTTTTTGAACTTTTGTAATTATCTAGCTAAGAAGTCAAATAGCTATATATTATAATTATATATGACTATGTATTTTAGAAATAGAAATTAAGTAATTTAAGGTTAATTGTTAATATTAAGTAAATGTAATTGTTGTTCAAATATATTATTTAATGTCAACACTTAATAGATACAGCTAGTCCAAAATGCAATCCCCACTTTGAAACGAGAACTAATAGTGTTAGGGCGATAACAAAAATAGATATAAATATTTAAAGTAAAAATAGTAGTTAGAAATTATGGCTCCTTGGATTATGATAACGTTTATTCACTGTTAAGAATTTTTTCTATTGTAATGTAAAAGTCGTGTTAGTTTTTCGAATATTTAAAACTCGATTTAAATTTGATAAATATAGTTAAAAAAAACTGAAAAACATGCTTTTAAAGCATATCGAACTAAAAAGTTAAAAATAATTGTACAAATAAGCTTAAAACAATACCGAACGAAAAATACTAGTATTGTGCAAAATAAAAGTCGGGCACTCAATATACGAAAAATATGACACAAAGTCTCCACGCTTTTTTCACAATAATACTAGTATTTTTTGTTCATTATTGTTTTAAGCTTATTTTAAAAATTATTTTTCACTTTTTAGTTTTTTATGACATCGCTGTTACAATCACGGAGTGTTTATTGTCAATTATGACTATCAAATAGATATAATATCTGTATAGCCAGTTAGTGTGTTTATAAACTCACCTGCGAATATCGTCATAAAAAAACAATTTGCTACCTGTATTTGTGATCCCTTATACAGGGTGTTCAGTAAGTCAGGAAACGGGTTTCTATTGTTCTCATTGTTACAAACAATGAGAACAATAGAAACCCGTTTCCTGACATACTGAACACTCTGTATATTATACATGAATATTATCTCAAAAAAAATTTGAATCTTTAAATGTTTATATCTAATAATAAACGACAAAAATTTGTTTATATATATATAATATTGATGATATGCACGCATGTACGGGTACGAAAACCAAAAATAAAATTATACAGGAATAGTGTGGCCGTCGTGTGATGAGTGGAGTGGGGTGAATGAGTTACGATAGTCTAGTCTCAAGGCCATAGACGACGGGATACGCGAGAATAATACGTGGCGCATGGAGAGTTACAAACAAACACACAAACATACATACAGGTGAAACTAATATAAACGTGTTAAAAAAAACAAGAGTTTCTAGACCATTAAACTATTTTAAATTGGATGGAAAACATCCGAGAAACCTTCAAAGTAACGATAATCATGACGAACATCGTTAACCGATGTTTAAGAATAAAAATTATATTGAGGAGTTTACGTAGACGCGAAATCCTCAGCCTGCACATAACCTGTCAACTTAAAAAATCTCGTACATCTTAAAGAAACATCAAAGAAGGTTAAAACATGCGGACAAGTAAACAAGGAAAACATATGATATACTATTTTGTCAAAAACTCAAAGTTAGCACATACTACACCATCACATTCCTCACATATTATTGTATGACGCAAATATCTCCGAAGACGATAATCAGTTTGTATTTTTTCGAGGAAAGTGCGAACGGCAATCATTACTTAATAAAATATGTATAATTAATATCTTTTAACACGTTATTCCTTCCTTACAACAGATTTGTATAAATCTATCAAAACATGATTTCAGTGTGATTGAGCCATTTCATATATTTTTAGCGAAAAACAGTTAATTTAGCTATCAAGTAGTTTAGGTTTAATACATGCTGATTTTTCTCGTAGGAACATTTAAAGTGATATATGAAGATAAACTAGTTGATACGGATACTTTAAAATCGGCCATTAGAAGAGATGTCAGCAATTTTAAAAACGACTCTTTATTAATTATAAATAATTTAATAATTAATTATTATTAATTTGTTTTATATTAAGTAATTTCAAAATTACAGAAAATATTAAATGTAAAAAGTTTTGCAGCCAAAATTTGATAGAATTTCAAAAAAGAAATTCGATTCTAAAAGGCAAAGTTTTAATTTGGTCATCCTATCTCAAATAATCATTATTTACAACTTGTTCTAAAGAGAGGAGTACAATTTAGCTCTCCTATAAGACTGAAATTGTACAATATTTTTTTTATGTAATGATGAACTTTTAATTTTAATGTTTTCTTGTTTAGATAATTTAAATTCTAAGTTTTTTATTAGAATTATCTAAAAATAATTAAATACAATTTCTATAAATAATATATTTTATTAATATTGAATTTCAACACGAGTCTGTCATATCAAAAAAAATTACTCTAGGTTTATCTCTACAGTGTAATAGCTCTTTGTTTAACCTTGCATACATGCCATCTATATTCACCTTGGTTTCTTGGTCAAGAGACATCAGTAATCCTTTAGCATCACTGTTGGGTGGTCTTGTATAATACAATAATTTTCCACTGAAACAAAAAAGTATATAATCAGATTCTTTCAAATTTTTTTATAAATAATTCAATTTTATAGGAAAAGCAAAATTATGAAAAATAAGAGTAATTTTTTAAATAAATATTACACATTGGCATATGATACACTTTGGTAACCATTTTACATATTGTGTAAACCTGTACTAAAAGTATTATTTTATTGAAGAGCCAAAAAAGAAACATGATGTCTCATATAAAAATGTTATATGCATCAACAATTTTTTTGATTTTATGATACACTAGTTACTCAAAATAAATATACTCTAGAGTATTCTGATTACTTTAATATAAAAATTGAAAATTCATAGATACAAATTGTTGCTCATAGTAGCAATTTATTATAATTTTATAACCATTTATCATTTTGGGTAAGTTTACACCTCAAAAGTATATAAATAGTAAAAAGAATATTAGAAAATGTGTCTCAAGATAGTACAAATTTTGTAGAACTCTGTAGTTATAACTAGATTATCAATATGACGACATTACTTAATCGTTATATAGATGATAATTGTAAGAAAGTTAAAAAAAAATCATCACATTTGAACATGGCATAGTGGACAATATAGTTTTGAAGGCCTTGATTAATTATTTTTCATTAAAAATTTAAAAGATAGGACTAATATTTGTTAAACATAATTGCTTTATTTTAAATGTAATGAGGAACAAGAACATACATACATGAGATAAAAAAAGTATATGACATAACTTACTTTTTATTAACAGTTGTTATCATGGGAATAGAGGTTGGTGATATAGTACCAATGCTACAGACTGAAACCTAATAGTGATTAACAACACTATTATAAGATACTTAAGTGCAAATGTGTAGAAAAAAAAATTGGTGACTTGGGGATTAGTTACCCTACCACCCTCTTTTAATATGTGAATAATGTAAAAAAAATAAAAGTATTTTATTTTCTGAATTTTGAAATTTTTACTTCTTCTAAATAATATGTCTACATAAATTAAAAAATTAATTTTTTAATCTTTAGAAATTGTAGCAGAGTTTGGAAAGGATAAGCCCCTTTTTGACATCCAAGATTGTGTAATTTGACTATTTTTTTAAAAAATTAACAACTGATAAATATTTTAAATAAGCAGGAAGACTTGCTCTACCTTATTTATAATCCAGTAAACAATATATTTATGAACTTTTTTCTACTTACTCTTTAAGATCTTTCATGAAGGATTTAGCAGCATTTACATGATCAGGTTTACCATGTTTATTAATTAAACTATTACGTCTAGCTTTTACTTCAAGAATTTGTGTGTAATCTTCAGTGTTTTCTACATACATATCATACATAAGTTTTAACTAAAAACAATAAAATTTAAGAAAAAATTAATACTGATTTTAACAAATGACTATAACTTTACTATCAAACCTGATTCCTGTTTATCAATGGTAATATAAGTGCACATAGTTTGATTGGAACTACATTTTGTAAATCAACATCCAAAGCTTGTTTAATTAATAAGCGGCTATCACTAGGTTTGTCCAAAATTGTATTAGCACCAATACAACTCCAAGGCAATAATTCAATTTTTGCATCATTAAAAGGAAATACACAGACTTCTCTAAAAATGAATTATTTTATACATTTTATTTTTATTTCTTCAAATATGTTAACAATTATAATTGTAATTTAAAGCTGAATTTTTACAAAAAAAATATTGGAAAGCATAAAATAAAAAAAAATTAATGTGCTCTAAAAAATAAATTGAACACCACAAAATAATTAAATAGTAAAAATATATATTAGTTGAAAAACAGTTTTCTTTTGCTTAAATTTCTTATCAAAAACCAATCATATTAAAGTGTAGACAATAAGAGTTTTAGCTAAAGAATTTTGAGAAAAATTTGATGAATATATAATTTTATGATCAAAATACATACATAAAAATTTCTGAGAAAAAATATATGTTTAATAACACTAAAACGGTAACTGTTACATGTAATATTTATTAAAAATACAAATTAAAAAAAAAAATCTATATACAGGGTGGCCCAGTATTCACTGACAAATTTAATAACTTTTGATCCAGTTTTTTTTTTTTTTAGTTAATATACTTGAGGACTATAATAATAAATAAATAAATATTATTTTTATAATTAAATTTAAAAATGTAAGAAAAATATTTAAAGAAAGTTTTAGATAATCATTTTTTAGAATAGATTTAAAAAAATAATAATAATTTGGTGAAAACGATACTCATTAATGTTTTGGTAGTTAATCTTCTGTATTTATTCTATAGATTCAAACGCTGGCTATGTTATATAAAAAAGAACAGAAGTAAACACCATCTTTTCACACTAAATATGATATGAGTATGGATTTTTCCATGAAAATTATTAACACTTATCTCTTTGAGATAAAACTACTTATCTTACTTTTCTTCTGTCCTTGTCTCAAAACGTATTTCAAAATTTAATACTGTAAAATAAAATATGACAATTCAAATTTTTACGAATTAAAAAATTTTACAGAAAATTAACTACTGAATATTAATAAAATATTTATTACCAAAATTTAAAATATTAAAAATAATATTACCAAAATCTACTTTAAAAATAGTTATCTTGGATTTTTTTTTCATTTTACTTAAAATTTAAAAATAATTAATATATTTAATAAAATGTAAAAATATAAATTATTGAGATATATTCATAGACCTAACATATAACTGTTATTTGAAAAAAATCAGTAAAAAGTATTAACTAGATCAAAAGTTATTTAAGTTGTTAGTGAATGCTGGGCCACTATGTATATAGTATATAAATATAATCTATGTATATAGATTTGCACATTAAGAAACGTTAATATTCTTAATTTAAATTATTTTTTGATTATTAAGGAATTTGCATAAACACCTGAGCCTTATTTAAAATATAGGTATTTACTGGTTTTTTTTTGATGGTACAGGTTCATCTCCACTAGTATATTTCCACTTAATGGTATCAACTACACAGGATTTTCCTACTTTGGGCATACCAACTACACCAATAGTTATACCTAAGATAGGTGTATTGATAGCATTTAACAAGTAATTCCATACAATAGTTTCTCCAAAACATTTATTTGCTTGCTTCTTTTTAATTCTAGCTAAAAAGTTAGGATCTTTTGCACTGGTTTTCGGCGTGTTTCTAACTTCTCGACTAGCTCTGAAAGGTACTGTTGGTGCTATTTTACTAAAATAGTCTACCCAACTAGATACTACAGATTTGGGAACTAAATCAATTTTGTTTAATAAAATAATACGCTTTTTATCAGAAAATATAGCAAAGTAATCCTCTATTTCTTTTGAACGGGTGGCTAATGGATCTCTTATGTCCAGTACTTCTAAAACAACATCACACATTGAAATTATCTAAAATTAATTAAAAATATTCTCATGAAAACATTTGATTATGATTTATAAAAATACTACATGATAAAATAACTATAATTACATTTTCATAATTTTTATCAGGATATCTATCTTCCCTTGTTTCTTTAGCAAGCCATCTTTGTCTAAATGGTAAGGATGGCTCAGATTTTTTTTTTTTTTCTTCTGGTAGTTGATCCATAGCAGCAAAATTTGCCATTCGAATTTCACGTTCTTTTTTTTTTGCTTCATTTAGTTGTTCAATAATTTCTTCTTTAAATGGACACATATTGGGAGCAATTATCATACTATTTTTTGTCTCTAAAATAAAAATTATAAAAATAAAAACTAAAATTAAAATAAATTTTTTTTATTATGATGCTTTTTATAAGAAAAGGTACAAATCAGTTTTTGAAAATTTTTTTTGTTATAAATGAAAATTGTAAGTATTTTGTGCCTAATCTACTGATATCACTGTCATTTACGTAAATATTTTTGCTATTTGAAATAACTAAGTCCAAATAGCAAAAGGTTAAACTTCAAATACCTATTGGTAAAAATAATTTATTTTTTGAAAACTGGTGAAAAAATTACTAATACCCTTTTCATAAAAAGCATTAATAGAATTTAAAAAAATTGATGGAAAGAATTAAATTAATATTATAAATGTAATTAAGAAGCAAACATTACTATTAATTTAAAAATTATGAATATATATATTTGTCTGAAGGTATTAGATGACCAGTGATGTATTTAAGGGTAAGGAATGGTCGACTCAATGAATTGGCGCTGTTCATATTTTAAGGAGCCAGTATTTATTTTTTGGTACCCTAAAGCAATGACGGCGTAAAGGGGACAGTAGAAGCAGTTATCCAGAATCCTAAGGTTATTGAGGTAACAATACCTCAGTAGAACTTTCTTTTTTATTAATTTGTTTTTAAGGAATTTTTTACAAAAAAAAATAAACACCTATATGTTAGTTATAATAGTTTTGTACTGTCTTTCATGAGATCCCACTAGAAGAAATTCAAAATATACACCATAGACTACTAATAATTAATAAATTTTTAGAAGAATATCATATTTTATTTTTTTAAGAACAGTACTAAAAATTGTAAGGATATCATTCTATAAATATTTTAATTTAAAGTGTCACTAAAAAAATAAACTTTTTAATGTAAATTTGCTTCATATTACTCTTTTTTGGATTTTTTTTTGCCTCTCTTCTTTTCTTTCTGTTGTGTTCTCGTACTTTCTTTGCTACCTTGTACTTGGTACGACATAGAAGTCGTTTTGATTGTTTTCCTAAAAAATAAAGAATTACCAAATAAAATAAAATAATTTTTATAAAATGAATGTAAAATAAATAAACAAGTAAATTTTTTTAAATAAATTATTTTTTGTTATACCTACTTTTTTTTGGTAAAGCCATTATAAATAGAATACGTATATACTAAAAAAGTTTTTAAGTATTAAAAAAATAAGTTTTTTTATGGTTCAAAAAAACCCACATGTGTGTAAAATAATTAATATTTATTCACTTAACTTTGAAATCAAAACATAACAATTCATAAGAACAAAACTATACATAAGTTTTGTTGCACTCGTGCAGTAAGTACGAATTGGAAATATAACCTATAAAATATAGAAATCAACGTAAGACAAAATCAGGTTGATAGTACTTTGATAAACAAAAATCCCTTCTAACGTTCATTGTGATTCGTGTTATCTATACAAAGCGTCCTTACTAAAATACTAACAGCTGTTTAATGTAAACAATAGAATCGGGCGATGATTGGAGGATACCAGTCATATGATTATATCCCTTCTACATTTTTGTTCATTCGGTCTCACTCGCACCCACGTTTTAGTGTTTTGTATAAGATAGATATATTTATATACATTTATGCAAACACGTATATATCCAATATCTATCTATATCTATATCTACTGCTGAGTGTACATGTATATGTAATATATATTTTAATACGCTGGCACGGAATAAATATAAATTTGTTTTTTTATTTTTACATGAGAACGTGTGCACCTACGTCGGCCATATTGTTGCCATTAATCCCGTTTTTGGATTATATTATTTCAGGTACGCCTTAAAAATTTATGTTAACACAAAAGCCACCAATTCGTAATAATAAACACCTGAAACTTGGGAATTGAATGATTACTCTAGACCTTATAAGCTGCGCCATCGCTATCTACTGTTTACATTCATGTTATCCATAATAAATTTTTATCTTTTATTTCACCTGTAATTTCCTATTAATTAATTAAGAAAAACCTCTTAAACGTTATTGAAAAGATTCCGGCTGAATTACAAACGTTCCACTACAAGTTCTTCGTGCTTGTATTGACTAACGATTGTTAGGTTAGGTTTGCTTTGTTGTCACTATTTTGAATGTGAGATTTGTTGAGAATTAAATTTTTTTGTTGATTTTCGTGAATTTTGTCGTCGATTTTATTATGAAGCAAACATTCAACTGAATAATTAGCTTTTTACTAAATTTTGTTTGATTTTGACGTTTAATATTTTAGGTATATCATTAAAATTTTAAGACATTTTTTTTATTTAATTAGATTATTTTTTATAATCAACAGGTTTATAATGTTTTATTATTGTTAATCATAATTTTTCTTTTATTGCAGCATATTGAGTTTGATAAATTACATAAATAAGTTGAAGACATGACGGATTCTATTAAATTTGGTCCAGAATGGTAAGCAATCAAACAGTGTTTTTTTAACTCTTCTGAAAAAATTTTGAGTATTATAAATTAATATATTACATTGTTTTTTTAATTTAACCAATTTCATTTGGTAATTATTATTATTCCTTCCTTATCTATTTTGCTAACATAGAAATTTCAGATTAAATGTAAAATAACTATCTTTTCATATACAATTTTGTTTTTATTGGTAACTTTTTAGTTTTTAAATATAAAATTTATGAAAAAAATGGTAATGTACAAAAATTTTAATTCATAAAATACATAAATAAGTCAAGGAATTATTAAATCCAAAATAATATAGTTTATTTTTTATTTTCATTTAAAATGCATATCCTATTAAATTTATAGCTGATAAGATACTTTTTTACTTAAGAAATTAAAATTTTTTTTAAATTTTAATATTATGTAATCTTGTTCATTATTTTTAAGAGATTTGTTAATTTCTATTGAGTTTTCATATTTAAATTATGTCTTTTTGAATTGAGATTTTTAATATAAGAATCATTAAATTTATTATATTACATTTACATGTATTATGTTTAACTTGTATTTTTCTATTATAAAAATTAATCAATATTTCTAATATGTAACTTGTTATTCTATTTGAAAAATTTAATTTGATGGTATAATTATATGAATGTTTTGTTTTTAACTAAGATTTATGTAAAATATGTTCTTAAACACTGTTATTTATTCCTAATTTGGTGAAAAAAACTATATAATGACAGAAGTTTTATATTTTTAGGTTAAGAAATATGTCTCAAGGCATATCAAAGCCTCAACTAGCAGAGCATCGTTATGGTAGGGAAGAAATGTTAGCCCTTTTTGATATTTCATCCTGTAATCTTCCTCCAGAATCTCTAAAAGAGCTCTCTATGGTATATAGTGAAAAACCTCAAACACCACTGTCTTTACAGCAAATGTCTGAAGAAGAAACTGTAAGTTATATATTTTTATGCTTTAATTTATATACTTAAATTAATTAATAATTTTAGAGACTATGGAATCGAGGTATAAATAGTGATACTATAGTTAGAGCATCTGTACGAACTACTGGTGGTAGAGGTACTGCTATTGAAGTACGGGGTGGAAGTGCTAGTGCTAGAGGACGAGGAGGACGTGGTGGTTATTACTATAATACTACTCGGCCTGGATATGAAGAGGGTCCTGAAGGTGGAGGTTCACCAATGAACAGAGGTCCTCATAGACCTTTTGAACGCCTTAACTCCGTAATTTTATTTTATTAAAATTTATTTTAACCTTTATAATTTTATCTTTAAATTGTTAATAGAATGAGAGAAATTTAAATCGTAATGGAGAATACTCAAATGATTGGAGAGGACGAGACGAATCCAATAATTGGTGGAGAAAAAATAGAGGTGGCCTACACCAAAATCAGTCTGAAGAATCTAATGGACGTTGGGGTCGAACTCGAACAGATTCTTATAATAATGACAAATGGCCTGCAGGGAGGCCATCATCTAAATTTGATGAAGATGAAGGGTGGGATAGAGGAGATTCTAAATGGTCAAATAACACTAATATTAGTGATAGACGGAAACTTGATTGGGGAGAAACTTTACCAGAATGGTTGGTACTTTATTTATACTTCAAATTTCATCTAAGAAGATGAATAATATTTAAAAAAATAATTTGGTAGGGCTGTTGACAATCCTGGTGAAAAGGGAGGAAGTTTTGACTCGTCTGGAGCTTTCCATGATAGCAATCATTTTGAAGATCAACATTATAGCGAAAGAGAGCAGTCAAACAATGTAAGTTTATTGAAGGTTTTGAAAAAATAAATTGTTTAATAATTTTAATGTTAAAGGATCATGAGTATGAGGAAAACATTGATTCTAACAATGAAAATATTGAATGTTCAGAAATTACTTCTGATAAGCAATTGAATGGTCAAGAAATTGAAGGTTTGTTGTTTGGTCATTTTTTATTTAATAATTTAATTAAATAAAAATTTTTTTATAATTAGAAGTTACCTCAACTTCAGTATCTAGTTCACCTTCACAAAATGAAGAAGTTGTATCTTCCCCAGAACGGTTTAAAACTATGAGACAACAGCATCAACTTAATATTAGTTCACAGGTTCCTAAAGAATCCATTATTAAAAATGAACCAATTGTCATAAATCATCAAGAATGTATAAGAACACAACATGTTGAACAAGATATTCCTGTGGTTCATAGCAAAAGTAGTCCAGCTTTACCATTGATCTCTGATTGTCAACCAAATAAATTAGAGAACCTAAAAAATATTAGAGATGTGTCATTAATTAATAATCGTTTAGAAAATACTAATATCAATTCGATACATCGATCAACAAGTAAGACTTAAAATTACTTTATACAATTTAACTGTCTCATAGAATTAATATCTGAAAAATATTGTAAAATTAATAATAAAATATTTTATAATTTGAAGTCTTACTTAATTGAAATGTTAATTATTTTTAAGAATTCTGCTGTGCTTAAGTGAGATATCTTAGCAAACATGATTACTCTTATAGATTTAATTTTTCTATATAATGGAATAAGTTTTTTTTATTATTATTCCATCAGATAAATTTTACAATTTATGCAATTTTTATTTTTTATCTAAGTACCATATATATATATAACTCAAAATATATTTTAATATAAAATATTAAAATAAAATAAAAATTGTTTTAAATTTATTTTAGTCTTAATTAAAAAAATATATTTTTATGTTTTAATTATTCTATTAATATTAATTACTTTTTACCAAAAGTATACTTTAGTTTTAAAAAAATTATATTTATTTAATATTTTATTTGTGTGTTATGATTATATTTTAGGTTTAAATGCCAATGCTAATCATTGTTTAGATACTATGGATGCTGAAGCAGAATCTATGGTGTCTAGGTTAACTAGTGATAATTTTAAAATTGGTACTTCTACACACTCTGCTCTAGCACCACAATCAAGTAATAAATGGTTTTATAGAGATCCTCAAGGAGATGTGCAAGGTTTGGGACAATTTTTTAATTTAACAAAATTTCCATTTTATACAATATTAATTTTTTATTTGCAGGACCTTTTTTGACATCAGAAATGACTGAGTGGTATAGTTTGGGGTATTTTCATGATAACATGTTGATGGTTAAGCGGTCATGTGATGAAAATTTTTATTCGTTGGGTGATCTTGTAAGACTCAAAGGAAATTTACCATTTTCAGATACTCCATTTACTGTATGCTTATTTATTAATTTTAAACTTTTTTTATATATATATATATTTTTGTACAACAATATATTTTTTAGGAACAAGATGTCAAAATGACAGCTCGAATAGGAGTACAACCTCCACCCCCACATAATCCATTCACAATAAATGAGTCCTTGGTTCTACAACAACAGCAGCAACAACATTATCAATATAGACAATTATACTTGAAGTAAGATAAATCTAGATTTTTGTTATATTGTTGTGATTTATAGTGATAGTCAATTGCTAAAGATGATTTTTAGAACCTAAAAAAATGATTGTTTTAGTGAATAATATATGTTCTATTTTTAATTATAGAGTACTTCATCATAAAAATTATAGTTTAAAAAAGTAAATTTTAAAAAGTAAAGAACAATTTTTAATTTTTTAGACAAAGAGAAATTGCAATACAGAGTGCAGTTCATCAGCTATCGCAGTCTGAAAGATGGAATACTTTATCACCTATTGAACAGCAACAGGTAGTCTAAACATTATTTTTTCAATTGTATATTTATGGATTTCTATTTTAAACAATTAAATTTTGTATTAGATGATAATGCATCATATAAGAAATGTTGAAGTTAATTCCACCATACCTCCAATATTTGCAGCGCCTATTATTCCTCAACCTCAGCCATCCTTACATTCAATGAACCCCCCTACTAATAATAATTTGATGGTGATGCTATCACAAATGCAACAACAACATTTTAATCATGTAAGTTGAAAATAAGATCAATTACTTGTGTTATTAGTTATGATTTATTAAACAGTATATAATACCATAGCAAATAGATCCTAAACATAATGCTCATGGTATTCCTCCAAGCCAGCCTATCAATCAACAAATGGATCCATTACATTCATTAGTTCAAAGTATGGGAGGTTTAAAATCCTCTACATCATCACCAGTAAGTGTACCACATCATCATCCGACTTCAAACGCTATTCGGACCAATACTACACAACCAGAAAACAATCCTATATCCGATTTATTAAGACAATTAGGTGCACCTCAAGATAAACCATTGAAGGTAAATTATGATTATTAATATTTAACATTAGGTTTATGTAAGATTTCTACACTACTTGTCTGATTTAATATTGTAAAAATTATAATTTTTCTTTTTTGTTATCTCCTGAAACTTTACTTTATTGTTTAATTTGACGTTGTTATAGTTTAAATGTTTGGTAGAAATAAGATTACTTATCATAGAAATGCTATTTGTGTTTTTGTGGTATAACTTAAAATTTAAATAAATAATAAAACTTTAAAATTATAATTTAGCTTGGTCTATTTAATCTAAACAGCTCTCGGGGGATACTTTAAAATGTTACTAATTCTATAAATATTACATGATAAGTAAAAAGTATATATATATATAAATATACTATTTTAAAAGATAACAATACAATGTAACTTCTGCTACTTATTGTACAATAAAAACTGAGTAGTAAGACTTTTTTTTTTTTTTGCTCCCTGAATAAATGTCTTTAAATGATTTGTCTAAATGAGTGAATGTATGAACATAATAAAAAATGTGTTATAATTTATGTTTGTACATTTTCAGATCATAGTATGGACATATAGTAATAAAACATATTTCATTGTTATTATAAAATGTTTGTTTTAAATTTTCAGGTTACTGAGACAAGTGTTTGGGGAATGGATTTCTCTGATAAACAAAAAATGAATGGCCCAATTGGATTAGGTGGTTGGCAATCAATGCCTTCAGTCGACCAATCTCAACAAACTCCAGGAGTCTTATGGGGATCTGGAGAATACACTAAAATAATTGGTGCTGATCATCAAGCAATTGTTAGTAAATCATTTAATGTAATTTTGAATTGCCCATTAAATTGAAACCATATCATAAAATTTGTAGGAGGAGGCAATTAAAGAGGAAGCAAGAAGAAGTGAAGAAGCTAGAAAAAAGGAAATCATGTAATTAAATTTATTTTTATTCTCCTATTATCTGAGTACTAATTCATTAATAATTAGGAAACAAAATGAACAGTTAAAAAAGCGGGAAGAAGAGAAAGCTAAGATGGAAAAAGAGATAAAAAGAAAACAAGAATTAGAAAAAATAAAACTAGAAGAAGAAAGAAGAAAAGTAAATTTATTTAAAAAATTTTAAATGTTATAATTGTTATGTTTCATTAAAAATTCAACAAAAATGTTTGTTTTTTCCCGTAATTTTTCAATATATTGTTGTTAATGTTATAATTTAGGTAAGGAGTTGTATATGTAGAATTTAGTCATTATTTTAAAAAAATGGAATAATTCTTTTTATTATAATTGATTGTTTATTCATAAATAAAACATTGTAATATAATACATACTTATTTTAGGAGGAAATAAGAAAACATAAAGAACATGAAAAAAAATTGAGAGAAGATGCAGAAAAAAAAAAATTAGAAAGAAAAAAACTTGAAGAAGAAAATTCAAAAAAACGTGAACATGAAAAAAAAGTTAAAGAGGAGAAAGAAAAAAGACTGTTAGAAGAAAAAAAGAAAGAAGAAGATAGAAGACTAATTGAAGAAGAGAAAAAAAAGTAATTCAAAACTTTTTATACATATTTGGCTATTAATAAAAATGTATTATCTATGTCTTTTATTATTTTCTTATTAAATGTTTAATATTTTTTTTTCAATCCAATTTTCATGCTTAATTCAGATAAAATTTGATTTTTGGAAAATTTGAAAATTTCCTGGTTAAAAAAATAGAGCCATACTATCTTAGCACTGACTTGTAACTGTACATTAGGCACAGTCACATTTCAGATTTGCTTATACCATTCCTTTTATTATTATTCTTATTTAATTAAAAATAATGTTAGAAATTTTTTAATTACCTTAAATACATTTTTATCTTAATTATTTACAAGTTTTCAAGTAGAATGAAACTTGTAATTATAAATAAATAAATAATTATTTTATGCATAATGATTGTTTTTAAATTTTTAGAAAGACGGAGTTAAAAAAGAAAGAGGAATTAAAAAAAAAAGAGGAACAAAAAAAGAAAGAAGAACAAAAGCGTAAAGAAGAATTTAAAAAACAAGATCAAAAAAAAAAAGATGACGATCATAAGAAGAAACAAGATTCTTCTAAACCAAATTCTTCAGTTCCTATTGTTACAGAACCACAAAAAGTAATTATTATTATTATTTTATAATTATAATTTACTTATTAGTGTATTTATTTTTTTAAAGAAGAAAAAAAAAGACCCACAAACTGTAGCTCATAATGGTGTTGAAACAGCTTCTGCTCCATGGGCAGGTAGTGATCAAAAAAAACAAGTTCAAGTAAAATCAATGGCAGAAATTCAAGCAGAAGAACAGAAGCGTGAGCAGTTAATTAAGCAAAAAGAACGGGAAAGAACTGAACGAGAGATGTGTCTAGCTGCAATTGAACAAGCAAAACAAGAAAAAGCTAGAGCTAATATTAAAATGCAATCCTGGTCTACAGTAATAGCTAAAAATGTTCCTCAGCCCCAGTCTGCATCTAGTAACTCTGTATGGGGAACTACTAATCAAACAAGTAATGTTTTACATGTTTTTATGATCCTAGTGACTCATTTAAAAATATTGGATTCATTAGCTAAGTTTTTAATTGACTAGATACTGAAAAACAGCCAAATCCCCCCAAATCTAATAAGGCTTCAATTACAAATACCAACAAAAATAATCCCAAAAATAATGTGGTAAAAAATCCTAGCCAAGTTGCTCAGAATAATGTAATGAAAAAAGTTTTAGAAAATCGTGGTGAAAATAATAATTGTAATGATGAATTTAGTCAGTGGTGTTGTAAACATCTTGCAGCTATTAACAAAAACACTATTGATAGTAAGTAAAAAAATAAAAAATAAAATCATATTTTCTTAATTAAATTATAATTATTTTAGTACCTACATTTGTTACATTCTTGAAAGATGTTGAGTCTGAGTATGAAGTTAAAGAATATATTCAGAGTTATCTAGGAGATAATAAAGAAGTACGAGAATTTGTTAAACAATTTTTTGATAAAAGGTTGAAAATTCAAAACAAACAAAAAGGGTCAGACTTTGTTGAAATGAAGGTATGTGTACTTTAAATATTTTTATCTTATAAATTGTTTATATTTTCTTTACTAATTTCAAGTTAAAGTATGAAAATTAAGTATTGTAATTTAATAAATAACATATGAGATAACAATAGTATAGACTACTCTCATAAAAAAATGTCAATTTTTTTTTATATACATGTAATGGAATTTTTAACGGATTCGATGAAAGGGACAATTTTGATAAATTGTAATAAAAATTGGAAATTTGACAGATACCCTGCTTTTGAATAATTGAATCACAAATATTATTTGTGTATATAAAAAATCAGGTAGATAACGCCCTTTAATAGTATATGTATTACACCTGTGTATATTTTCTTGTTGTCTTTCAGCATAAGTAGCTCCTATTTGATTAATTGTTTTATTAGTTTGTATTCACTGAGGAATATTATTATGTTTATGAAGTAATAAAAAAAAATGTTTAATTATATAAATTTAAATGGTATTCAATAATTACAACATTTTAATGAAAGCTTTTTTTTTTAAATTATCTGAAAAAATATTTTATAAAAAAGTATTTGCAAGAATTTGTTAGGTGGACAAAATTTTGAAGAGGCCAAATATTGCTCCTTAAAAATACTTTTTTACTAATTACACATGATTTTTCTTAATTTTTAGAAGAGACAATTCTGAATATGGGGGTTAAGCTTTCCACCTAATGCCTTTACGGGGTGATCAGTTAATCATTAATCACTTGATTACTTGCTAAATAAATATAATATTGGAAAAAAAATTTTTTTATTTTTATTAGTTAAATATATATCTTAATTTATAAGCTAATAAATATTTTTTGAATCATACCTTATAATTAAAAGGGGTGTCAAATTAACTTTTTTAAATAGCAACATATTTAACTAAATTGTAAAATAGAAACTAATTTAATTAAGAAAATGAATGGGGTCGATAAAAACCTTTGAACCAGTACTTCAGAAGTTATTAATAATTTAAATTAATGATGAAGGTGAAAAATGGGTGTTGCTATTTTTATTATTAGTCGTTTGTTCGCCCCACCTATGTATAAAAATGAAAATAACTTCCAAAATACTGGTTTTATTTTCTTAATTAAATTAGTTTAATTAAGTTTAAAAAGTTTAATTAAATGATACCATCTAAAAATAAAGTTGACACCTCTTTTAGTTATAAGGTACGATTCAAAAAAGTATTTATAAGCTTATAAATCAAGAAATATATGTAACTAGTAGAAAAAAAATGTTTTTTTTTTCAATATTGTATTTATTTATCTAATAATCAAGTTGTTTATGATTGGACTGGGTAATTGGTTTAAACTTATTACCCTGTATTATGGTCTTTACTTAAATAAGGAGAGAATATTTTAAAATTAAGATTTTGGCTTTTTTATTTCATTAATGCTGAATATTTAGTTACACAGCTTTTACAAGTACTCAAATATTTAAAATGTTTTATTTAGTACTCTTACTGTAATCATTTTTTTTCATAACTACAACATTAAAAATGAACTTTTTTGTCAAAATAAAAACATAAATTTTATACCAAAAATATGTTATCCTAATAACCATGAAATATTGTTAAACATATATCAATTCATAACATTAAACAATACTTTAAAATATGTTTATATATTCTTCTCAAAAATGATAGTTAAAAATTAAATTGTATAAAATTAAAAAATTGTTTATGTAAAGCTAATCATTTGACCGTTCTTTAAACTGCTTTAGTTGAATGATAGAGTTATTTTTATTCTAAATTCCACCATTTATGGTTAAACACAAATTTTAAATGAAAAAAATTCAAGTTTTAACATTAAAATAATAATAATATAAAAATATTATTTTGATCTCTTTATTTTAGATAACTGTAGTCTTATTTCAGTATTCTAAAAAATAGTCCTTAATCATTTTTAAAATATGTTATTAGATATAAATTGAAAAGTTTATAGTCTTTTATAAATTTGCAATAGAATTTTAATATAGTTTTATACGTTAATTTAATATATAAAGATTTAATTCAACATAATCTTTTCACTTTTATAAGAAACAAAAAATGTAATTGTTATAAACATATATTATTAAATTGTTATCTTGTAAAATATCATAAGTTATATAGTTATATTAAAATTAATTTTTCTGTTAATAATTAATTTGAATTTTTATATTATTATATTCTTGGACCTTTTAAAATATATATAAGATTCAGTTGCCTTGAATTCACTTTTTAATAACTTTTAAGATCCATTTTTATGAAATTATAAATTATAGATATCAGTGTAATAAGAGAAAGATATTTAAATAATTCACAACTTTCATGTTTAATTGATAAATATTTTTACAGAGCAAAAATAAAAAGAGGAATAAAATGGTGCCTTTAGATAACAAGGTTCTTGGTTTCAATGTGGTTGCATCAGAACGCATCAATGTCGGAGAATTAGACCTTGGTGAATAAGGTTGATCATTAAATCATTAAATTATCTGATTTTTAATCTTGTTTGTCATCTTGGTTTTTAGGAACGATTTAGATCTTTGAGAATGTAAAGAAACAATTTTATTTGAGTATTAAATATTTTCCATGTTTCTCGTTGAAATTTTTTTTATTGATAAATATATATATTTAAATAAATTCAATTCTTTTTATCATCATTTTTTTTCTTGTAAATATATAAAAAATTAATAATATTAAAATTATTGTTAATTTTCTAGATGATTGTTGTCATATTTTTTGTACAGGCATCCACTGGTTAAATAAGTAGGCTTTTATATTGACTGTACATTTATATCCTTTCATCTAGTTGCCTAAATTATTTATTATTATGTAAATAAAAGATTAGTTATTATAACACTATTATAAAGAAAATGTATGTGTAATAAATAATGCAAATTAGCATTTATATATACATATATAAATAAATATAATTTTATAGTAAAAAGTATATGTATATACGTTTTATCTTATTGTTCAATATGTTTGAAAAATTGTATAATATTTATGAATATTTCTATGAATTATTTTTGAGTCGATGATTCAAGTCAATTTTGTAACTTTTGACAAACTAATAACTTGTTGAAGTATTATGTTTTGCATTATTTGAAGAGTTTTTCTAACAATTGCTAATTAATACTTTCTATCAATAATATGATAACTTTCGATAATTTAGAATGATGAGCTTCATTTATTCTGAATTCAAAATGTATTTAAATTGAGTTTCAAGAAGATTAGTACATTTGACATCCAACATGTGTAACATTTCCTTTGTTTCATAAATATCATCCCTGGTTATAATGAATAGCTATTTTATTGTGATAGTGTACAAAGTTATCTTTAATTGTGATAACTGGGTATTTCACTACTTTGACTTTTACTGATTGATACTTGTGATTAAATTTTAAAAACTGTTTACTGTGTAAGTTTTGAGCAAAATGTAGAGGTCAATGTTCTCTATAGCTCAAATTTTAGATCATAAAATTAGCTCCTGGTAAATTTGTTAAATGGCTAAATAATATAAAATAATGGTTATTTTATATTATGTTTAAAATATAATACATTATAATATAACTTGTAACATATATTTGTATATAAAGAAACATTTTATGCTTAAAACTAGTTTTATACACTTAAAAAACAAATTTTTTTACGATAAAAAAACTTAAAAATAAAAAGTTCTAAACATGAAAATAATATTTTTTTTGAAAAAAAAAATTATATAAAATATACAGTAAATTTTTCCAAAATATTTAAATATTATATGCAAAATAGGAGTGTTAATCTTATTTTTTCAATTTGCAACGATACATGAATAGATGTAATTAAGAAAATGACTGGTCAATAACAACTTTTGGACCAGAATTTATTAACAATTTTAATTAATGACTGGAGGTAAACTGTAAGTGTTTCTATTTTTATCACTAGTTATTTTCCTACAGTACTCTTCGTCCTGTCTATGTATAAAAATAAGAATGACTTCCGAAGCCTGGTACTAGAGTTGTTATTAACAAGTAATTTTCTTAATTACATTATTATCTATCAAATAAGCTAGTTAATGATTATTAGCTAGTTAGTACTCCTCTAAAGAATTTGACTACCCTACGCCTATAAAAAAATGTCAGATCAAAGCTATTTGCTTAATTTTTGAATTAAAGGTGTAAATGTAATATTTTAAATCAATGTTTACAAAATTAAAACAATACTTAATTTAACTAATAAATTTATTAGTAATATTTATGGAATAAGATACAACCCAATAGTAATATTTAATGCAAAAAATAATTATGCTTCTGTGACAGATAATTTATCCCACTTATACCCCCTCTTTAAGTAGGATAGATTATCGCAGTGAAAATGAATACACGGTGAAGATCTAGTTTTTCTATATATCCCTCAAAAAGCAAAACTCTAAATGTAACTGTGCTTTCACGACGGCACTGGTAATATTCTTAGTATAGCCACAGAATAAGATGTTTGACTTTCTGTAGTATAGCGTTAATCTTTATAATCATAGTGACATTACTTTGTCTATGGTTTCATTAATTCTTCTCTATTCTATAATTAGAATAGAATATTTCTAATTTTATATCTATCCATACCTATTGGAAACAATTTTAAAGGGCTTATTTTATGTTTGGGATCTTGGTACCACTGATAAATCAGTTTCAATTCTCAGCTGTTATCTTACAACTTTTTTTGCAAAGGGTTAGAAGAAAGCCATACATTATCCCTGCGAATCTATTGTTCCTTCTCAAAAAGTTTCTTGTACCATATTTTCAAAATAATTTTTTAAAAAGATGATTGCATCAAAGGGATTACAAATGGTTCGTCATTTTTCAGCAACAGCTGCTCGAAATAGTCATGCGTATGAAGGCCCTGGCAGAAATTTGCCCTTTGATGTGTACAGCAAGTATAAGTTTACTGCACTTTTAGCGGTGTTCTTTAGTTCCGGATTTGGGCTACCTTTTTTAATGGTAAGGTTTGTCAAACGCAGAGGTCAATAATGTAGTTTTATATGTATTTATTAATGTGTAGTGTGTTTACCAAAGATAATAAATGAATACTAGATGTTACATTTTTTTTACAATGTTAAAATATGATTGAAATATTGATATAATTATATATTATTAATTAAATAAATTATACTTCAATGAATTTATTTTAAGTTTTGTATTAAACTTTAATCTCCTTCTTCTAAATAGTGTTTTTGTATTAAACTTTTAAAAATATGAACAAATGTTTTTGGATGTTTTAAAATTTTCTGTTATTAATTAAAAATATATTATATTTTAATACCCAGGTATAATAATTAGTTATAGATAGTACTATTTGAAAAAGAATTGTCACCCTTATAAGGTATAAGAAATGAACATAAAAAATATTTTTAACAGATTAATGAAGATATATAACTAACAATTTTAAGAGAAATTGAAAAGCTAGTGAAGAAATTATTATTCTGATATAACTAAAAAATTTAAACACCATAACTATTTATCCTCATTTAGCCCCTGAATTTTCAGAAAATTTAAAATGAACCATATAAACCAAAGCTTAGTATAATTTAATTTTTTTAGAAAATAAGTACATAGATATTTTTGTACACTAAAATTTTATGTATATATGAATATTATACAATTAAAATGGTTTTTTGAAAATAACAATTATGCTATATAATTTACATGTTTAAATTTAGTTATAAAATGGGTTGTATGTTATCCAATGAGCCCTAGTTTGTTTTTTATCATCTTCATGACTAGTAAATAGAGATTTGAACACGTTAGTTGCTGATTCATCTTTAGCAATACTATGAGATAATTTTGCTTTTTTGTAAACTGGATCTTCAAGTTTACGACAACAAGAATTTGTACTTGTTGAACTGGAACTGGCAGAGTATAAAGCTTCTGTAAACAAATTTTATCTAATTAATCACTAAAATTTAAAGAGTGTAGTGTTTTTAAAATATGGTATACATTTATAATAAAAATACTAAACAAATATTTGTTGGTTTTTAAGAGGTATGATTATCATAGAGATTTAGTAGGAGATAATATAGAAGCTATTAATTACTTTAATAGATATTTATGTTAGTTTTTGCTAAAAAAAAGATCTAAATTTTACTTAGGAAAAATAATACAGTGAATAAAATTATATTTAAACTTACTCTTATTTTGTTCTTTTTTAAAACTGGGCTCCAATTTTCTTTTAGTTTCTTCACTTTTATTTTCTAATTTTACGTTAATATTTTTAAATTCTATTTTAATGGAATCGGGTTTTATAATTTGTGGCTTAACATCTTTTAAATCAATAGATTCATTAGACTCCTTTTTAATGACAATCTCTTTACTTTTATTTTTTTTACTTTTTAATTTTTCCTTTCGTTTAACCAATCTTTGTTTCATTAAGTTAATATCATCTTCACTTGGGTTTAATATAACAATATCATCGTCTACATAATCAGATGTACAGTTTACACATTTATTATCAGCACCTAACTTTAAACCTCTTTCTGAAATAACACACCCACAATTCCATAAAAAACAAAATTTGGAACGATCATTCACCTCTAAACCAATTAAAGGACATATATAGGGTGAGACATTATTATCTGTATATCCTCCAACACTTTGGGCTTTTCCTTTGAATGCAGGATTTGCAGTAAATTTTATTTCTTTGATATCCTGAAATTTGAATAAATAAATATTATAATGATTAGAACATTTTTTAGTTAATTTTTATGGATATATTAGCCAAAAAATTACATACCTTGAGATTTTTTATATGTATAGAGCATTCAGGAAGTGGAGTCTTATTCAATAAATGTTGTAATATAGATTCTTTATTATATAAAAGACCCATTCCACATGCAACTATTGGTGATCTAAGAGCTTCTTGAGTTAGATGGCAATTGCGCCAACGGAATAACTGTTCTGATGATTTATCCTTCTGTAAAATAAATTATTAAACATATATGGTGATTGTTTGAAATAATGAATATTTATAAATATTTAATAATTATTTTCCAAAAAAAATATTATAATGAGGCTTCGGTTATTAGTACTTGTTATGATAAATTTAACCATTTGTAAAAATAATTATCTAAGTATTTTTATATACTATATATATACATATATTATAATAAGTTTAAAAACAAATTTGAAGGAATTCATTACCTGCTCTGGCTTCTTTTTAGTTCGAACCAATTCATCCCTTTTAGGTATAGTACCACCATCACATCCCATTTTAAAATTGTTTTTAAATAAAAATAAATAAATTGATAAATATTGTTGAATTTATGTTATATATTACAGTAGACTGAAGTGAAATATATCGAATGTTAAGATCAATATAATAATATTTTAACCATGAACTATTTTTATTGGTGATTTTGGCTAATGAAAACAATTTTGATAAAATATTTGTGGACAGTATCTCCAACACGTACCATTTGTTGGATTTGTGGTACCACTGTTTTGTCGGCGAATAACCTTTACGATAGCACAGTGCGGCAACGTGGCCCGAGCTATTTTGTGTGTGTTGACGCCCGATTCCCGAAATTCTTGTTATTCTGTCGTAGTAATTCCGAACCATTACTCCGTAAATGCGATTGTGTGAATTTAATGACTTGCCGCTCTTCATATGTATTAATTTTTACGTAGTTAATTAGTTTGATAAAATTATTTTTCCTCATAAATATTTCTATTATACATTTTTCTTGGTTGTGTACATCTTATTAGTGTATTATTTATTGTCTACTTGCTTTGCGTATACGTTTTCTATTCTAGTGCCATAGTTGAACTTTGTAGATAACTATTTACAGGTATAAATAATTCTTTCTGATATTCATAGTGTAATATGTTAATCGTAATAGTTAAACCTTTAATGTTTGTAACTGATTTTTATAAAGTATTATTTGATTATTGCATTCAGAGTTTTTATTGTATATTTTTTGTTAATAGTCAACTACAACATGCAAACTATTAAGTGTGTGGTTGTTGGTGATGGAGCTGTTGGTAAAACATGTTTACTTATTTCATATACAACAAACAAATTTCCATCAGAATATGTACCAACAGTAAGTGATTTAATCATATTTATAAGAATATATTAATTTATTGAATATACATTTTGTTTCAATTTATAATTTAAATTAAATTCTTATTTAGAATTCAAACCAAATGAAAAATATTTTTTTACTTTTACAGTTCATTGTATCAAATAGATTAGTTATAAAATTTTTGTTTATCTAATTTTTTAGTATTATCTCATTGTTTCAATAAAATTTTACATATTATTTCGATTTTTTTATATATATATATATATATTTGATGTTACATAATAAAAAACTCTTTTAGGTTTTTGACAATTATGCTGTTACTGTGATGATCGGAGGAGAACCATACACATTAGGTCTATTTGATACAGCAGGTATACTTTTTTTATTTCAATGCTTATATGTATATAAATTTGATTATAAATATACAATGCTTTCCTTTTTAGGCCAAGAAGATTATGATCGCCTTAGACCATTGAGTTATCCACAAACAGATGTTTTTCTTGTTTGTTTCTCAGTCGTTTCTCCTTCATCTTTTGAAAATGTTAAAGAAAAGGTATGTTTTATCAATTATTTATTATTTATAGAGATAATGAATTCTCGGAGGAAGTAAAATTGTATTTTTAGATAATTATATGATTAAGAATTAGATTCTTTTTATGTTAACAAAAATCTAGTCTTAATTACATTAATACTAGAACCCTTAAAATTGATATAAAATTATTTGCTTATTCAGAAGAGAATAATATCTCACTATCAATACAATAGTATGTATAATATTTCTAGGTAGTAAAAGCATATTAATAACTATATTATATGATAAATCTCGAAAAATTATATTTTAAGATATATGAATTCAAAGATATGATCTTCCATAAAAGTTAAATTAAGTATTACTTATTTATATATTATTATACAAAATTAATATATTTATGTGTAATATTCATGTCGATTTTCATAAACATCATAATCATATATTTGAGATTGCTCCCTAATTTATTAATAATGTGATATGATTTAACATTTCTTATTTTCTTGTTCACGTGGTTTTCAATAAATAATAAATTAAAAAAGGACAAGATGAGAAATTTTATATTAATCTCTTACATTTTTTTCCAATTTTTAATTTGGTACAACTATAGTTTTATTGTCACAAATTGTTTTGATTAAATTTAACTATAACCTTATTAGTGATTATGAATATAAAGTCTTTTTAATTATTAATATAAGTGTATTTCAGCCATTGTCTATATTTATAGTATTTTTTTTTTTTTTGTAGTGGGTGCCAGAGATAACCCATCACTGTCAAAAAACTCCATTCCTTCTTGTTGGTACACAAATTGATCTTAGAGAAGATGCAACAACTGTAGAAAAGTTAGCCAAAAATAAACAAAAGTCTATATCTTTTGAACAAGGAGAAAAACTAGCTAAAGAGCTTAAAGCTGTAAAATATGTTGAGTGTTCTGCATTAACACAAGTTAGTATTTAACAATTTATTGTTGTTTAATATAATTTTTTTACAAAATTAATATAATAAAAAATATTTATTCATAATAATAATAGTGAAATATTTTAAACACATTAAGTGTTTTTGATTAATTTGTAAATAAACTCTTAAGTAATATTCACATTTTAAAACTTGTACCAACTCCTCAAATTGGTAAATCCTGTAACTTCATATAAAATTCTTAACTGGAAAATTATTTCTATATACTCAGAATAAAATTATTTTTATATTATTGATCTATGCTATTAATGTATAATAAATGTTGCTATATAGTATAATATGGTTTCTAAAATCAGTATTTACTGTTTATAATTGAAGAACTATAATAAACTGCCTTGAGCGCATTATTTAAGAAGTGTTTAAAGGAAAAAATGATATAGTCTGTATGTTTTTATAACAATATAAAAAATGTTTTGCTAATATATTTTTTAAAAATAGAAACTTTTCAATTAAAAAAAATTAAGTGAAAAATCAACAAAACAAACTGTGGTGTTTTGCATTTTAATGTAGGCTTTATCAAAAATTGTATTTAATACTTTATTTTAATAAATAATTTATTTGTATTATATGAAAGTCCACTATCCTAAAAATATATTGTTACTATTATTATTTTTTACTTGTTTATTTTTATAACTTTCAATACAAAGTATTGTTATAGCTTGACAATTCTTTTTTGTTATTGTTACTATTTTTAAAAAGCAGTTTATAGAAATAATACAACAAATTTTGATGGTATATGAGAATTTTTATATTATTATTTAATATAACAAAAATGATTAAAATAAAAACTTGTTTACCTGATATATTTTTAAATAATTAAAAAAATTATTTTAGAAAGTAATCAAGATATTTTTTTTTTAACAGAAAGGATTAAAAAATGTTTTTGATGAAGCTATTCTTGCAGCTCTGGAGCCTCCAGAACCAGTGAAAAAAAGAAAATGTATTATACTCTAGAGCTATGGACAAATACATAAATAAAAATATGACAAATATGTCATAATTTTATTAAAATTTTTTAAATTTATAAAAATAATGAAATGGTTTAGTATGTAAACGCTGATAAAATATTAATTATTTTGTTTTAACTAATCTTAAAAAATATATTATATGTATGTAGTACATAATATACATATATATATTTAAATTATTTTTTACTTTATATAAAATTTTGCATGAGATCCAGATGTACAATAATTTTAAATATTGAATAACTAATATCATTTCTTTGTCATTAAAAATTGTCATCCTAGTCTGTTGTTTAAAAGGCTAATTTTTTCTGATATATAATTTTTACTTTATATATACAAATTTATGTACAATTTTAATTATATATTATTTTATTAAACACTTCAATTTTAAATGAAAATACTGTTAATAACCTATAATATTAAGATACCCAATGAATAGTTATCAGGTCAAATCCTGCCATATTTTTAAAAACAATTTTATAAAATGAAAATTTTATACATAATTTATTTCTATACTTGATTTTAAATTGTATGAAGGTAGATGAATAAACAAAATATAATGAATTTTACTTGTGAATATTGACTTGCGAAATTCATACAATTAAATTTAAATTTAACAATATTTTTTTAAACTAAACTTTTTTATGCCTAGTTGTATATTTATTTTTTATATCACTGTTTCTTAGATTAATTACTCTTGAAATTATGTAATGATGTTATGATATGAAACTATTTATTGTCTAGTGGCTTTTTATACTTTGGTCAATATAATGCGATAAATATACAGCCATAAATATGTTATATTACTGTTTTCAAATGGCCAATTTTGATTTTTGCTATAAACAAGCAGAACAAAAAATTAACTGAACATATATGAAAAATTATTTATAAACAAAGACTTATTTATTGTCTACCTCCTGAATGATTTTTGTTATATAGCTGATTACAGTTGTTAAATTTTTTTATAGTCATAACTAAATTGTACTTTAATTTTAATATGAAATTTTTAACTACCATGTGTACCTATTAATAGAAACATTGGAATATATTTATTCAACATTGGTTAAATAAAAATTAATATGTTTATTTTTACTTTGTATTAATGTATCATAATACAATTATTCATTGAATGTTTTAATTTAAAAAACGAATTAACCTTAACATTGTTTTATTTTTAAAATATTTATTAAGTTTTTTGACGGCAGAACAACAAAAATATTATTGATTTTACAAAAAATAATTGTGGGCTCATTTTATCTTCTAAGTATATACTTTCATACATTCAATAGTTCAAAACTGTACAGCTTAAATTTTATCAAAAAATATTTTCTATGCTACTTATTCTAAATAATTATATACAATATTCCATAATCTGAGTGATACCGGTAACTATTTTATAGTTTAATTAAGATGAAATGGATCCGTATACATAACATTCATATTATTTTGAGCTTTTTACATAGGTATCCATGAACGGTATTACAAGAAGGTGGATAGATTTATAAGACAGATTCAATTTAAGGGATAATAATATGATACCCTTATTTTTTTATAGATCATTATTTCATAATTTAAAGTGTAGTGGATCATCTAGTTGCTGCCTTAGCGTTGATTTTCAGCTACGCTGTTTGCTCTTACTTTCCGAATATGTGCTCATACGGGAGCTTACAATGAGAAATACACCTTGCGCCCTTACTGGTTCTCTTAGTGTAATAAGGTTCCGTTTGGTCAACAGCCGGTGTAAAAATATTGTCAAATTATGAATCTACCAAACGGTAGAGCCGACCCCAAAAATTTGGAAGTTAAGGAAATAAAGATGACGTTTTCATAATTTAGAAAACTTATACTTATTTACATTGTTAGATAAGGATCGGAAAAGAAAAAGTTTTACCTACCTAATTACTTTATTTGATAGGTGTATATAGGATGATTTCATAATTATGTCTCATACAATACTTAAAAATATAGAAAATAAAATAGTATTTTTTTGTCAAAAAGTTTAATATTTAAAATAAAGGCAATAAAGTTTGTTTAAACACATATGATATTTTATTCTAAAATTTTGTTAATTGAGACAACAACAAACGAATGAACATTAACAGCAATTCATCAAATAATATTTTGTTATTAGTTATAACTGATGACCAGATATAATAAAATTATTTTTATGTGGTCATGTCACGATTATAGATATATTTTTAATCATGGTCACGGTTTTATTGTGATTGTGGTATTCATTGTAAAGGTTAAAAAGTTGATATAATAAAAGTTTTACAATAGTTGCTATCATTACAAAGTAATAGTGCGCGATAATGATAGCAAAATAAATACAAGATAAATTCAAAATTAAAAGTAGTGAGGTGATTTACCTCTTCACANAACGAATTTATAAGTTCTTTTTTTATTACATCATATTGTTAATTTGACTAAACATTTAGTGTTGTAGGAGACTTCAAAAAACATTTTTTTTTTAAGTGGGACGCTCTTTAAACACTTAGAGAAAGAGAGACTGAGTCCTTTTGCACCTCCTCATTATTAGCTCCTAGTGTATTTATTTAGATTTATGTAAAATTTAAATATTTTGTTTTATTTACTTTCAATTGTATGATTTTCCTTCATAAATATACGATGGATTCATTCTGGTCTGTTAATTTCATAATATCTGGGCGATGAGAACAAAGAGTGTCCTCAGTTTTTAAGTAATTTTTGTTAGTACCGCGAACAATATTTATTTTTATTATTTTATGATAAGTAGACGGCTGGATTTTACTCCTCGGAGAAAACCAGTCGTCCTATGTTGTATTTATTTAAAAGCTTAACTGACCCAGACAGCATATAAATAAGTGAATACAGGTTAACATCAAAACAATTTTGTTAACTGATTATTTGATTAGGAAATGCTATTTAATATTTTAAATTAAAATGTGAAATATCTTAAGAGTTTTAACTAAATAATAAAATGTATAGTGGCGTAATTTTAATTTTTTTTTTAGAGAGGGAATCCAGATAAATTCAAAATTAAAAGTAGTGAGGTGATTTACCTCTTCACATCTTCTATACTGGGATTTTTATGTTTTTTAAAAATTATTAATAATCGCTATAGATAAGCAAGTTAATTGAAATTGTTAACTCAAGTTAAGCTGAAACGATGACGATTATTAATTATTAGCAAATAATAAATTTAACTAATTAAAGCTAAAGTGAAATAAATTAATGATTTAATTTATTAAAAAATAAGTTCATTTACTTTTTAAATCAGTTTGAGGATTACATTAAAGGGTTTTTTCTTTTTGATTCAACGAGAAACTTTAGTGAATCTACAGTTTAAGTTTAAAAATTACTTTATCCCACAATAAAAGAACTTAGTAAATTGTATTTATAATTTTATAAATATATTATTAAGGAGGGAGTGGAAATACATTTAGCCACCGCAAAATTATATTCTAGTTGCGTTTATTATGAATAATAACGATATTTATCAAGATAGTTATAAGTTAAATAATTAGGCAAATAAGTATACAATGAAGACTTGTTCGAAAGGAGTAGTGAGAATATTTACTCGGTATTTTCGACATAAAATCTCAAAATTGTGACTTGAACAATAACATTGATGAAAGCTTAAACAATTTACTGCGCATTATCCAGTATGGTGTAATCAACGCTTTTAATAATATAGAATTCCGAATATTTATGACTGTTCATGCATAGTAACACTCAACAAGGTATAAAAACCAAGTAGTATAATTTATATGATACTAAGTGTACTAGATAGTCAACTTTATTACTTCTAAAGATTGATGTGAAAATCTTTACGATAGCTTCCATATTCTATACATAAAGTATAAATTTATTGCTCTGTAAATTCGAAAAAACCGAAAAATCGCAGTAACGCTTTTCGACATGACTAACGCCATAAAAGGTAGCTATAAACTTAAAATTGATAAAATGTCACATTCGTGTATGTACACAAATTTTTAATTAGAGATTTTATTTTATACAATAAATTAATTTTTTAGTGGTTGAACTTTGATACACGTTATCGTAAATGTTATAAAAGTAAAAGTTATTTAAATTATCAAGTAGATGTTAAAAGGGAAGCGTTTACTTTATATTATAACTGTTGAGTTAGGATAGTTTTGACTTTGATTAGGGATTAATTTTGAATTTCGTATACTAGAAATGGTTATTTATTTTTTATTACGAACTTTTATTTGTACTCGCTAATGGAAATTAAAAGAAATGCACAAGTAAGCTTAAAATAGTAAATCTAATTTCATTTTACTGCATAGGGGAACTAATTAAAAATGTTTAGTCAGGGACATGATATTTTCTAAACATTTAGTTAAAATATATTTCATTTTACTAAGAGTTTACATCATAGTACTTGCTGTCGTACATATAACGGGTTTTTTGACTAAGAATCCCATCAAACAAGAATTATTTTTTTGTTTGGGTCGTTTGACTCTGTTCTAGTCAAGTTTTACTTACATTGAGAAATCGTTCAGTATTTAAGAAAATTATAGAAGATTTTTGAGAGTTTAGTAAAGATAATAATAATTTTATTGTTTAGAGGTTCATTTAAATTTATTTGATTTTAATGTTACCCAGTGAAATTTATTTCGTTATCTAGTACTTGATATATTTAATAACTGAGCGCAAACTTAATTGAGTTCAAGACCTTTATTTGTCAATATATTTTTCTTATTTATCCAATTCGGATTTATTTATCCAATTTATTAAATTCTAATAACATAACTTTGTATTGCTTATAGGGATAAAATTCAATTTTATTCTAACATTTGATTATTTTTTAAATTAATTTATTATCATTAAATAAATATATTTTAATTTGACGATTACTCTCGTATATCGAGTAACAAGAATGTTAAATAATTCCACTAACATAAAAGTAGTGAAATTGCCTATTCGTGTTGCCGTATTTTGTCCATTTAAAACTGTTGGAGAAAATTCAGCGATTAAATTTTCTAAAATGTGTGTATAAATCTAAGACAAGTGTGTTAATTCTGTTCAAGTTAAATTTTTAAGCACCACGTATAAAGGTTTAAAATAATAACATGTATTGATTGAATGCAATTATAAAAAATTAAAAGATTTTTGTTCAAAGTAATTATTACAATTTTTAAAGTGTTAATTTATTAATAAATTGTACAACATTTTTAGCAAAATATTTGTAAAAAAAATTTTTAATTCAATTTATAATAATAATAATAATAATAGTAAATATGAGAGTATGTATAGTTTTATTGAGAAAAAATATTTTACTTGAGTACATAGGATTTTATGAATAAGAAAGAATAAGAGTGATGTTTCTCGTTTTATACAAGTATTTGACCTCGATAGCAAGAAATTGAATATCAACAACTGGACATTGACCATATATATATATATAATATTTCATAGTTTACCATTACACAAAATGCGTTTATAAATGACAATGTATCATTCGGTATTCAATTGTCATGGAAGACTAGTAAGGTCTACTTTCAATACAAGTATTATAAGATATATTTCATTTTTGAAAGTGGTTCCTATTGTAAAATTATTTGTGAATATTTGAAAATCATACAATATTGCAAAAAGAAATACAGTAAATTTATTGTTAGCAATGTTTTCAAATTTTTTGAGTTGTATCTGTGATTTTTTATTTCACGAAAATAAAGAACACAAGTTTAGTATATTATTTACTTATGAAAAATAAATTGTATAATTAAATGATACTGAAGAAAAATATTACAATTAATTTTTATTTTATTACAATTATCTGATAGCTCAAAAAGCATTGTACATGTTTTTAGCATTGATGCGAAGCTGAGAAGGTATTAATTTTACTATGATCCTTATAACATTATTTTTTAAAGTTGTTATCTGGAAAGGTTTTTTTTATATTTTTTTCAACATTTGCATGGAAAATTAATACTTTTAACATAAATTGTACCAAAAATACAAAATCCTTTAAAAGTATGTTAAATTAAAGCTAATATTACATATTATAATAATACAAAATTTTTTGAAGAATATCTCAACAAATTTTTAGAATAAAATACTGACAATTTTCAAAATAGGAAAGACAA